ATAAGAGTCTGAGTATAATATCAAGTCCTAAATTAGACTAGTATCTTATAATAAGAAAGACTAAGATAAAGGATTTTTTTTTACTTTCTTTATTATCTTTATTTATCAATCAATATATATGACCTATATACATATACTATAGAATATGGAGATAGTCTGATTGGAGACCTGTCCGATAGCAACAACCAGGTAATCGGGTTGAATAAAGATGGGTTGAGGGAAAAAGAACGGGCAATGGCATGCATGCATGTGGTTGATTCCTTTTCTTTTTCTCCCAGGCGGTGTGCAAGAAGTCGGGTCCGTGCGCTTGCGCGGTATTGAATCTGTAAGGGTAGATTGAAACTTGTCAGACATATGGATCCAGACAGACATCCCCGACGGACCATACCCAGGAAGGAATGGATTGCCTGGAGAGTAGGGATGCCAGCCTCATAATTGCAGAAAAAGTACCAATATGCCTATGATGGAGATGTCCGAATGATGAAGGCTGGAGAATTGAAATGGATGATGCCTGTATAAGTAGGGTAGGGTAGGGTAGACAGGTATGGATCGACCCCCAGATCGAGTGTTTTGGTAATACGCCGACCATGGTTTTGCTGTTTTAGATCATCCGGTCACTCGGGACTCCCAAGTGGGACAGACTAAACCTAAAGAAGGTGGAGAGATCCCTGATGCACTTGGTGAGGATGTGGTGCCACGGCCTCGACCTGGAGACTGAGACTCGAGAGGGACAAACTTACAGGGTTCGAGGGAGTGGATTACCGTACCTTACCTACCTTACCGACTTGAGGCCAGACCTGGAGTCCCTGTCTTTCTTTCTCCCTTTCAGCGCATTCCCCAGGTCTGGTGATAAATCCATCCCATACCGATGGAGGGGGCCTGATGTCTCAGGCGAAAGGATTGGTTCAATATCAACAGATAATAAGACGAAATATATCATCTGTTTAGATATAATATAATATAATAAGATATCAAATAATATAATAATATGATAATTGCCACCAGATCCAAACAAGGGTTTGTGGTGCCCCTGGCGCAGAGTTTCTTTTCAGCCACCGACAACCCTGTGAAGGGCGCTAAGTGGCCTTGGGGTTCGATTGGAGGGGAACTGCAGGTGGATTCATAAAACTTATACTATCATCCTATTAATCCATCGGGTGAACACGTCCAATCATAGAATATGGGACAGTAGAATGATATAAAATTATGTACAGAATGATGTCTGTGATGGAGAAAGACCCTACACCATTCCCTAAATATATAACCCCAGCCCAGCAAACAGTCAACTACCCCGGTCTGCACCATCCAATCAAGCCAACGAATCGATCATCCAGCATCGATCGGACTGGAGGGGCCCATAGTCCTACCTTTACCTACACCTCTCCCTACCCCTACTCCAACGTCCACTCCCTCGACCGTCTGGTCGAGTCACACAGTAACTACCCGTCCCGTACAACCTCATGGGGAAACACTTGTAGCTCCAATTTAGGCGCTCAATTCGCCCAAGAACATGGAGAGGGTCCATTCATGATCGAAGCTCTCGAACGGGTATCAAAACTAGCCCCAGTCCAGGGTCGGGATTTCCCCACCGTTCGAGGTCAAGGTCATCAGTCCAACCTTTTTTTTTTACCCCCTCCTCTCCCGGACCCCTCTTGTACTATATATATAATTTGTTATTTGCTTCACATCCCTCACCTGGACATGACCTTAGAATTGATTTCTACTGCGTATATGAATCAACAAACAAAGAAATAAATAAAAAAAGAAAAACAGGGGGGAAGCATTAAATGATAAACATGAAAATAAAAATGAAAATGAATGGCAAATCACTATAAATATCAGTCAAATCAGAAAAAAAAATAAAATTTCAAGAGGCCATCCACCCCTGGAAAGATTGAGCATAGACCTCTTCTCACAATCCAGTCAGCATCAGGTACATGACCTCCAGTTTGTTTCCATCCGAAAGAATGCTCTCAACGGCCACATGCATTGACCTCTCGGGATGGTGTTTGATCTATCCATGGTTCATCCTGCATGGCTGACGAAATGGTTTAATATGATAGTGGAGTACAGTACGTAGTGAAGGAGGGGGAGAAAAAAAGATTCAAACAAAAGGGAAACATGATACAAATAAGAATGAAAGAGAGGAAATGATCCTCTTGATGAGTTCATTCCCCTCCATCACAATCCAGAAAGGAAAGGTTAAAAACCTCCGAGTGGGTTTTTCGATCGGGGAAAAATGAAGGCCGATTCTCTTGACCGGTTTGATGGACAGATGACCTTGTTGGGTTAGTCACTTGGTTAGTACTTCTTTATATCTGCTTTCTTGATTCCTGTTATTCTCTTTCTTTCTTTCTTTCTGTTTATTAATTCTTTTTTATCTCTATGAATTGATCGAATTAATCGAATCAACTGAATAATATTAATGATTAATGTCCTCCCCAGGGTGGTAGTTGTCTCTACTTATAGGAATCTGTTATTAATATTCGCCTCCGGACTGGGACTGGATCTGTCGATTCCACTTCCCTGGTAAAGAATATCCTAATCCACTGCAGCAACTGGCAGTTCTTTGGGTCAAACCAATCCAGCTCTAGTCCGTTTCTGGTTCTCGACTTCTTTCCGCATCCACACCGTCATTCTCTTGATTCTCTCTCTCTCTCCGTCTCTTCCTCTAATCGATTGGTATTCCCAACGATCCTTTCCTCTTCGCCTCTGACATTTCTGTCTCTCTTCTTCTCTCTCTCTTTCTCTCTCTCTCTCTCTTCCTTTCTCTTTCTCTTCTCTCTTTTCTTCCTCTACTCGTATCTTTCTTATTATCTTGTTGCTCTTTTAGTCCTTGTTCTCCTCCCCTTCCTTCCCCTCTCCCATCTATCCCTTCATCCCGTATTAATTCCTTTCCCATACTATTCACCTACCTTCAAGCCGGTTCTCCCAACGTCGTGCTTCTCTCTCTTCTCTTTTCCTTTTCGTTTTTGTCTTTCTTTTCTTTTCTTGTTGTTAATTGTATTTTTCTTTCCTCCCTCTCGTTTCGTCATTGTTTATTCGAAAATTTTCTCCTCGTATAGCCCTGTGTTAATGCGCGCGTGGTCTGCGGTACCGATACCATAGTTTCCCTGCATTCACCTTGTATAGTGCTCTTTTACCCTGGCTTGTCTTAGATAACGCTCCCATTCTTCTTCTCCCCTTCTCTTCTTACCTTTTTTTTTTGTTTTTTTGTTTTTTTTTTTTTTTCTCCCCTTCTTTACTCTCTTCTCTTTACTTTTTTCCTATACAAGCATATCGAGAAAGTGGTACTGTCCCACGTGTCTGCCGATCTGCCCACCAAGTCCTAACACCCGACCCTCCCTTCGATCGACACTCGCTCGGTCGTTTTTCATACCAGTTCGCCGTCCGTTCTCGATCCCTACCGCCTCGCCACACTTCCCGTGTCCCTCGGTCTAACACGGAACAAAAGCGGTCGCCCACCCTGTCATGGAAATAATTTGGATGGTTTTGGTTTGACTCTGGTTCTGATCTTTTGTGGGTGAGGTCCGCGCATCATGGACTCTCGTCACGCTACCCGGGAACTGTTGGAGTACCTCCGCACCGGATTCCCCATCCTGCTCCTCCTCGTCTTCGTTTCGTCCTTTATCGCAAACTCTATCCTCACGGCCAAAAATGTCAACAAAAGCTCCACGGGCACCCGGACCGGCCCTGGCGGGAGACCGCTGCCTAAGCGTGCAAGGAGCTCAGCCGCGGTGGCAAAACCCGCGCACCAGTTCTCGCGGGCCACTAAGCTATTGTTCAAATGGCTGTCGGCAGGGATCTTGGTGACCATTGTCGCCGATGCGGCCATTAACATCACCCACGTGATGGTGGCCAGGGATGAGCACTGGTGGTGCGGTCAATCCGTCGTGGTGAGTGACGACTCCACACCCTCGGGAAGGCCCTGGGAGAGGCGCCGATGGTCTGGCTAATCTAATCTGCTCAAAAGATATACGTTGTGGGATCCTTCTTTGATTATGCGATCATCTTGGTCTCATTATTGGATACCAATCCCTCACCGACTTTTCCCCAGTTTGTTTCCTGGCTAGTGGCAATCCCGGTCGAACTAGCGATCCTAGGGGTTTCGTCTTCCCTATACACAGGCGCTCACCGCGAACCCGTCGTGGGCAATCCCGCCGGCGGACGTCTTCGTCACGGCATGACAGGATGGGAGTCCATGGAGGTCGTGTCCAATGCCGTCCGGCTCATGATCCTGCTGGTTGTGGCCCTGCTGTATATGTGCAGCGCCATCAAGGTCAAGACTCACGGGCGCAAGGCCGCTCGCAATCTCGCCAACGGTTCCAACGAAACCACGGGCTTGCTGGACTCGTCCCGGGCAGAGCACGGTGACCACTATGGTGCCACCAATGGCGCCCACGGCCACCAGCAGTCGTCCAAACCCGCCGACCCCTGGGTCCGACCCACCTCGGTTCCGTCGACCAGCTGGTGGGAGTATCTCAGCGGCTACTCGTTGTTTTTCCCATACCTCTGGCCCTCCAAATCCCGACGGCTGCAGATCGTCGTGGTAATTTGTTTCGTGCTGATCATCCTCCAGCGCGTGGTCAACGTGCTCGTCCCGTACCAGGTCGGGGTCATCACCAATATCCTATCCAAGAACGATGGTGACTTCCGCGTCCCCTGGTATGATATTTGCCTATATATCCTTTACCGGTGGTTGCAAGGCAACCAGGGCCTGATTGGATCGCTACGCTCGAGTCTCTGGATCCCGGTGAGCCAGTATTCTTACATGGAGCTGTCCACGGCCGCTTTCGAACACGTGCACGGTCTCAGTCTCGATTTCCACCTGGGCAAGAAGACGGGCGAAGTTCTGTCCGCCCTGAGCAAGGGAAGCTCCATCAACACCTTCCTCGAACAGGTCACGTTCCAGGTGGTTCCCATGTTGATTGACCTCTGCGTCGCCATTGTCTTTTTATTGATCGCTCTTGATGCCTACTATGCGCTGGTCGTTACCATTGTGACCTTCTGCTACCTCTATGTGACTGTGCGCATGGCTCAGTGGAGAGCCGAGATTCGACGCCAGATGGTTAATGCGTCGAGACAGGAAGATGCCGTAAAGTGAGTCTTCCCCCCCCCCGATCGTTCCCTTGCTACTGCTGTATAAATGCTTACTTAATTTTCTTCAGGAATGATTCCATGGTCTCGTACGAGACCGTCAAGTACTTCAATGCCGAAGATTACGAGTTTGGGCGATACCGGGGGGCGGTGTCGGACTTCCAGAAAGCAGAGTACCACGTGCTGTTCTCGCTGAACCTGATGAACACGTCTCAGAATACCGTCTTCATGATGGGCCTGCTCATTGCGTGTTTTATTGCCGCGTATCAGGTGTCCCTGGGCCAGCGGGACGTGGGCCAGTTCGTCTCCCTTCTGACGTACATGGCACAGCTGCAGGGACCCTTGAACTTCTTCGGTACCTTCTACCGCTCCATCCAGTCGGCCCTGATCAACTCCGAGCGATTGCTGGAGCTGTTCCGGGAGCAGCCGACGGTGGTTGACAGCCCATATGCTAAGCCTCTGCCGCTGTGCAAGGGCGACATCACCTTCGAGGACGTCGAGTTCGCGTACGATTCCCGAAAGCCCGCACTCAATAAACTGACCTTCCACTGTCAGCCCGGGACAACGACCGCGTTGGTGGGCGAGTCGGGCGGTGGAAAGTCCACGGTCTTCCGTTTACTGTTCCGGTTCTACAATGCGGAAGGGGGGTGTATCCGTGTCGACGGGCATGACGTGCAAGGTTTGACGATCGATTCCATCCGCAAACACATTGGTGTCGTGCCGCAGGATACCGTGCTGTTCAACGAGACCTTGATGTACAACCTCAAGTACGCAAACCAAAACGCATCGGACGAGGAGATCTACGAAGCTTGCCGGGCGGCCAGCATCCACGACAAGATCATGTCCTTCCCGGACGGGTATAACACCAAGGTCGGGGAACGCGGTCTGCGGCTGTCGGGTGGTGAGAAACAGCGGGTGGCCATCGCCCGCACGATCATCAAGAACCCGCGGATCATCCTGCTGGATGAAGCGACGGCCGCGCTGGACACCGAGACCGAGGAACACATCCAACGGGCGCTGTCCACGCTGTCTCGCGGTCGGACCATGCTGGTGATTGCGCACCGGCTGAGCACCATCACCACCGCGGACCAGATCCTCGTTCTGCACGAGGGGCGCGTGGTTGAAAGCGGGACCCATGACCAGCTGCTGGCGATGAAAGGACGCTACGCCAGCATGTGGCGGAAGCAGATCCGTGCCCAGAAAGCGGCTGCCGAGGCCCAAGTGCTGCAGGATCGCGCCCAGCGCCTGCGAAGTGCATCCGCCGCAGGCATGCAGGACGACAGCTCCAGCCAGTCCGACGAGGACCGGAATGGCAACGCCCATTCTGCCGCCGCGCGTCAGGCGCAAGGCCAGCCCGTAGGCCGGCCTGTCGATGGGGAGAGACACTGATCGAGGACGCGTGTCCGGGGTTGGCTCACGCCAATTTTGAGTGATCTCTTCCGTTATCTGCCCAGGTATATGGATTACATTTAGAATGATGGGGTGAAATCATCATTATAATCATTATTCTCGGGTTCCCTACTCCTTATCCCCATCTTTATCATTTCCATTTTTTTCTTTTCCTTTCTTTTCTTTTCTTTTCTTTCTTTGATTCATTTGACGGCGTTTCATCCGGGTTACGATTTGCATGCATGCCATTATCTCATGGGACGGGCGGTTGCAGGTTTGGTTGATAAAATATTTAGACCATCGCACAATAAATGATCTTATGAATTGCATCATCATATAGTTAGACTAGCAATGTAGGTAGCTCACTATTATCCAGTCATACAATCAGACTTGCTTGTCTCTACTTCGCTGTAGTCCATTACGTAGATTCATAGCAATTGAACAGAGGACGTGTATAAAACCATGAATCTCTAGCAAAATCTCAGCGAATTCCAGAATATGTCTAGACAATCAAACCGAGCTTGAGAATAGGGGAAACGAGGTAGCAGTGGACTCAGATCTGGATATAGATAGGTGGATGATGCAGTTAGTATTGAGCGGCTGCTCATTGGTTATGGAGCTTTGGCTGTGGAGCTATATTCTGCCTTGTTATTAAGGCAGGAAGAAATTACGTTTGTTGGTCTGGATCGCTGCAACACTACGTTTTCATCTTCTCTTCTCTCCATATCCACTACACTGCAACTTGATTCCACGAGCTTGACCTACAGAACTCCATTCCGCAGTACAACTGAAACAATCGATCTCTTTCTATACACAATACACCGCCAATCAATCCATTAAAGAAACAAAAAAGAGAAAGAAAATGCATCCCCCATCACCCCAACTCCTCCGCGCCCTCCGCCGCACCATCACAACAACCACCCCCCTCATCCGAGCCACACCCCCAATCCGAACCACCACCTCCGCCTTCGCCCCCCGAATCACCTCTACCATAATCCCTCACCGCCCCAACAGCACCCACTCCCAGACACCCGTCCGCATGATCCCGCGCGCGCACGGCTCCAAACCCGCCAACCACGACCGCGGACCCGAATCCACCGAAGACACGCAGACGGACTTCGCGGCGCTCGACGTGCTGGGTAGTATCCCTGTGCCGACGACGGCTGTGGACGCATGTTTGGACTCCGGGTTCCATTTGAATAGCGGGTTGAAGATTACCAAGGGGGATGGGGTTTTGCTGGTGGGTGGGGAGGTTTTTACTTGGAGGCCTTGGAGGGCGGTTGCCGGCGGTGCTGGTGGGAGTGGAAGTGGCAAGGAAGGGGAGAAGAGGGAGAAGGCGGGGATGGTCAATGGGAGGGGACAGTTTGAGTTGGATGAGAGCGTTTGGGGGGTTTTGGGGGTTGTGTGGCCGCGGCCTGGTGAGTTCTTTCTCCTCTTTCTCTTTCCTTCTTCATCCTTTTTCTTACTCCCCGTGACTTGACTTGTTTTTTGGGGCTCGTGCTGATTTTATAGATATATTGATCATCGGGATGGGCGCTCATGTCATGCCGCTATCGCCTGAGACGAAGAGACGGGTCAATTCTCTGGGGATCAGGGTGGATGTGCTGGATACGCGGAACGCTGCGGCGCAGTTTAATCTGTTGGCTACTGAGCGAGGTGTTTCTGAGGTGGCGGCTGCTATGATACCTATTGGGTGGAATGGGTGGGAGGCGAGGTAGTCTTTCCATATTGTGATAACACGAGAATGACGGATTTGGACTGATGTGGCTGTTGCTGTGTAATATTTTACAACCACTATGTACGATATGTATAATCTACTTTCTCATCAATACAGCCCAAATTTGTCGAACAGGACCAGGTGAAACGTGACGTACTGCCAAGCCCAGGGGCGGACCCAACAGGTTAGTCAGCCCAGGCACCTCCAATCTGAACTTGACGACGTTCGTCTCTGCTCCTTTCCTCCATCGAGACCGGGGGAGGCGATTCTAGACTATATACTGTATCTTTGATGTCTATTCTCCCTCTCTTCGAGAGAATTTCAGAATAATGGCGCGAGAAGAGCCCCTCCTCGCGCGCCCCTCATCCGAACGGTCGTCGATCAGGACCGCCGAAGAGGAAGATGCCTTACTCACAGGCGAACACCTCCCCAACCGACATCAACCACGCCGCGGCTGGCCCTTCTGGAAAGACGTCGGCCTCTTCACCTGGTCGCTACTCGCCACCATCGCCGTCATCGTCCTAGCCGTCGTCTCCCAGCACCAGGCCAGCCGCGGCAGCGGCTCCAAAGCACCATGGGGCCCCGGCGGCAAGCCCACCGGCAAACGCAACCTGATCTTCATGGTCTCCGACGGAATGGGCCCCACCAGCCTGACCATGACGCGGAACTTCCGCCAATTCACAGAGGGTCTCCCAGTCGGTAACACCCTCGTGCTGGACGACCACATCATTGGCACCTCGCGCACGCGCTCTAGCTCCAGCCTCGTGACGGACTCCGCGGCTGGCGCGACGGCCTTCTCCTGCGGAGCCAAGAGCTACAATGGCGCTATCTCCGTGCTTCCCGATCATTCGCCGTGCGGGACCGTCCTCGAGGCGGCGTCTCTGGCGGGGTACAAGACGGGTCTGGTCGTGACGACCCGGATCACGGACGCGACGCCCGCGTGCTTCGCTTCGCATGTGAACACGCGCAAGTCGGAGGATCGTATCGCGGAGCAGGAGATCGGCGAGCATCCGCTTGGCCGTGTGGTCGACCTCATCATCGGCGGCGGACGGTGCCACTTCCTGCCGAACTCGACGGAGGGGAGCTGTCGCGGCGACGACCGGGACCTGGTGGCGGAGGCCAAGAAGGGCGGATTCAACTACTTCGACGACCGCAAGGGCTTCGATGCCCTCGAGGGCGGCGCCGAAGCCAAACTGCCGCTGCTGGGTCTGCTCGCGCAGGGCGACATCCCGTTCGAGATCGACCGCCGCGGCCAGAACGACGTGTATCCGTCGCTGGAGGAGACGGCGCGCACGGCGCTCAAGACCCTCAGCCAGGCGACGAAGGACAGCGAGCAGGGGTTCTTCATTCTGATCGAGGGCTCGCGCATCGACCACGCGGGTCACGGCAATGATCCCGCGGCGCAAGTGCATGAAGTCATGGCGTATGATCGGACGTTCGCGGCCGTACTGGACTTCATCGAGAAGGAGTCCACCCCGACGGTGCTCGTCAGCACGTCAGACCACGAAACGGGCGGTCTAGCTGCTGCGCGCCAGCTGCACGACTCGTACCCGGAGTATCTGTGGTTGCCGGGTGTGCTTGCCAACGCGAGCCACTCGTCGGAGTATGCTGGGAATAAACTCAAGAAGTATCTGGGAAGCAACAAGGGCGACGCCCGCCAGTACGCGCGGGACATTTTAGAAAAGGACCTCGGAGTGATGGACGCCACGGATGCAGAGGTGGACGTCCTCGTGGACCCTGATCTGCCTTATGAGCATGACTACGTGTTTGCGGATATCATCAGCCGACGGGCTCAAATTGGGTGGGCTACGCATGGACATTCTGGTATTACCCTTCCTTTCCCTTCCTTTCCCTTCCTTCTCCTTCTTTGCTTCTATATAAACTCAACCATATACTAACGAAAATAAAAACCAAAGGCGTCGACGTAAACATCTACGCCTCCTCCACAAAAGACGCCTGGCCCCTCGTCGGCAACAACGAAAACACCGACGTCGGCTCCTTCCTAGCCAGCTACCTCGACCTCAGCCTCGACGACGTAACCAACAAGCTGCGCGCCAAGGCGGCCGATCTCAGCGCGAGCTGGATGGGCAAGCTGGACGATAATATGCGCACGGAGGGGCTGGATCGGTATCATGGGGATTTCAAGAGGTCGTTTGGGGTGGATTTCCTGAAGAGGTCTTTGGATGGGGGGGAGTGTGGGTGTGGGGGGCATTGATTGATTGATGTGGTGTTATGATTTGGTTTGATTCGGTATTTGGTTATATTAGTTTTTTTTTTTTTTTTTTTTCCTTTCTATACATACATTCGGGGCGTGGCGTGTAATTGTATAAAGGACCACGTATTACCAGCTTCTAGATAGCTGCTTGTGCTCCGCAGGTGGTCAAATGTTGATCAGGGTTAAGGCTAATGTTGAGATCAAGTCAAAGTTTAAGATGTTGACGAGAGGCCCTGGGGAGAAACAAAAGAATCACCACCCCCCCATCAGAATCATCAAATGGGAAATGGTCCCTGATATCGGTGACTTCCTCAGGAGTCTCAGCGGCTTCGAGCATCCTAGCCTTTATTCGCCGCGCTTGATCCTTCGCAGCTTGGTGCTCCTCGTTTAGGACCCATCCTTGGATTTTCGTATTCGCATTGTGAATTGGAGAACCTACACTACGTGTATGGGTGTCACTGTACGGGGTAGAAGGACGCGATCGACCGGCAGCTAAAGTAAACCAACAGGAATATCTTGGCGTCTACTTTGGGCCTTTTGCATATAAGCGTGAGTATCATCAGCTACATGTGATATTCTTACTACTCTGAAGTACACCTTGACATTCAACAAATCCAAGTCTGTAACCCAACCACTCTGAAACAGCCTTAAAAAAACAATATAATACATTCTAAGCCCAACCCATCTATCCCCTCTAACTCCCTCCACTCTCTGTATTGTTCCCTCCCTCCCTTCTACTCCATTTCCCTCGAAAGGAAAAAAAGAAAAAAAAATCACCCACAAAAAGGACACCCCCTTCCACCAACCCCAACACTAACAACATTAACGCCCATCCGGGGCTCACAATCCGGCGGATCAAAAGGGAGGTCAGCGGCATCGCATTGAGCGGGATCGTTGATGCGGTTGAGCTCGTGTAGGATGCGGCGGCAGAAGACGTAGAGGTGGAAGGAGGTGTGGCTGCAGGTGGGGTGGTGGGTTGCTGTGTATTGGCACATCTCTGTTTTTCTTTCCTTCTTTCGGAAGAGTCTGGTTGGGGTGGTATATCCTTGGTAGTGACTGCTTGGGTTGGAGGACCTGCGTGTGGTAGAGGGTACCTACGTAGGTAGGGGTAGTCAGATGGGATCAAGATCAATTGAGGGCAGTCGCAATTGAAGTTGAAGCAATGCGAGCTACTCTACATATACTCTTAGATGAATAGATATGCTCCCCAGGAACAGAATCTAAACCTATACCAGGAACAAACCACATGTAAACGCATCCAGAACTCAAAGCAAAAACTGCAGAGTCCAAGTCAATAAACACATACACCCACAAAGGAAGTACGCAATCGGAATATCCCAGAAGACCAGAGAAGGGGAGTAGAAAAGTCTAGAGTACAGTAGAAATAAACAGCGATAAAGACACTTCAAACAACTTATAGACACTTACTGAATCCGTTACTTCACTAGTCACTTGTGTCATCACCGTTTATGCCAAGTTGGGAACTATATACTGCTGTAATAGATTCCTTGATTCAGTTTACCGGAAAGGCTACACTGAAGAGCACCCACGAGCTAGAAGTCTAAGGCTAGAAGCCTAAAAATTTAAGAATCTATTTTGGAATACAAAGTCTGCACATGTACGTATGCAGGGACAGACATGTCCCCACCTGCATGGAAGGCCAGCCAAAACATGGTTGTTCTAGGGCTGTTCCATGCAGGCAGGCAGGGAGCATACATTCTGCAAATGCACTCTTGCGTTTGACAAGTGTAAACACTAGATAAATATTATATAGTATAGAAAATGTATACTCCGCCCATGTGAAGCACAAACGAGATGCGAACGCATACTGATATTGACAGATGGATGGACGGACGGATTTATCCGCAATTGATAAACGCCTCAACAAAGGAATCATCCGGTCCCAGTTTATCTTGATCTTGATCTTGATGGAAATGGTAAGTAAGGTAAAGAAATGTATTGTATGTATTATGGTGAGGTCGATCGATCGATCAGTGGAGATTGATTGTCGTACCCACTTGATCATCATGTCTACTTACTTCTATCCGCGGATCTACTGTAGATGTAAGCACTACTGTCAGTGTGGCTTGCCTACTAGATCACCGATGCTCAATTTTCTCATGAGGGATACTCATTCAGGGTATTAACTAACATCCACTAGCATACATAATCACAACGTCCATCCACTATCTGCCATCCAAAAGCAAACATATTAAGTAGGTAATCCGTCTGTCCGCCACGGCCAATCCTGCGCCGAATCATATAATCACATCAAAAGAACATCCAATCAAAGTGTTGATGAGTTAGAATGGTTGGTATAAAACGAAAGGAAAAAAAAATGTAAAGCAAAAAAAAGTGGTCTCTCCCGGGAGATGGCCATGAGAAGGGAAGTTGTTGAAATCATACAGGGCCGATTGCCGGGGTAAAACAAAAGAAGAAAAAAAATATCTACGAAGAGTTGAAAGATGTGGCAAGCTCTTCACAGAGTGATCATCACGACAACGGCGACCAGCACGGCGAAGAAGGATCCGCGCAGGACACGCTCGTTCTGCGAGGCTGCTCCGCTGGAGCCGTTGGTGCCACTGCCGCTGTCGCTGCTGCTGTCGCTGCCGTCTTGGCTGAATCCGGAGCCTGATCCGCTGGAGGAATCCTCGCCGTCGGAGCTACCGCCGCTGCTATCGCCGCCGCTACCGCCGCCGCTGTTGCTTCCCGGTTCGTTGCCCGAGCCACCGTGATTCTCGGGGACGGTGTTGGTCGGAGACCCGGAGGCGGGGTTGGACCCGGAGGGCGAGGCGGAGGACTTGGCGCCTGCGTCCATGTCGAGACCGGTGGCGCCGAGCGAGGCGAGCACGGTGTTGTTGTTGGTCATGCGGATGGAGCTCTCGATGCCCTTGTCGTCGGTGAAGATGTACGCCTTGTCGCCCTGCTTGTCGGCGTCCTTGGGCGGGTCGTAGCACTCGACGGTGATGGGCCCGAAGGCGGCCGAGTACTTGCCGTGCTTCTTGATGTCCTCGTGGTCCCAGTCGATCTCACCGCCGGCCCACTCCTTGGTGCCTTCGGCGTTGCTGGCCTGGCCGGCGGGCCAGAGCGAGAGCTGCATGCGGGAGGGCGTCTGCGGGTAGTCGTAGCGCTTGGTCTTATCGTTCCAGGTTTCGTCGCGCTTCAGGGTGCGGACCTCCTTGCCGTCGACGGACCAGGTGATGGCCTCGGGCTTCCAGTCGATCTCGTATTCGTGCCAATCGGCGTAGGTATTGTCGACAGGAGATTTGCCTCCGTTTTCGTCTAAAAAAAAACAAGGCGTGAGTGATTGCCATGATGGTTGGGTGCGTATACTTACAGTCCAGAATTCCCTGGAAGTAGTAGTTGGTTTGGACGTTCTGCAGATCGGAGCCGACAAACTCCAGGTCAATCTCATCCTTGGAGTCGGACAAGAAGATAAAGCCCGTGACGACACCAGCGCCACGGCTGCTCTTGATCTTGGCGGAGATCTTTCCGTACCAGACGTAGTGGTTGTTGGCGAAGAGGGTGCCGACGCTGTTCTTGGGCATGTTGATGTACAGGTTGCCGTCCTTCACCTCGGGAAAGCCGCTGTAGGTCCAATCGGTCTTGGAGGCATCGCCGAGGTACTTAGTATTGAGGCCGGCATTGTCGAGGTTGTCCCACTTGTAGGTGGTGCTCTTGCAGACGGGTTCGGGGGCGCAAGAGTCAATGGAGAAGGAAGCCAGAGGGTCACAGCCGCCGAGACAGAAGCCACCAGTTCCACACTCGCCGTATTCTGGGGAATTGGTTAATGCTAAACGGGAGGAGATGAATACACAGAAGACTCACGAGAGCAGCAAGGGAATTTCTCAGGGCATTGCTTGTCGGAATTACACTTGGGGGCGTCGCCGGCCCAGACCGAGGTAGCCAATGCGGCCAGCAACAGAGACGAAGTGATGCGGACCATGATGACTGGATAGGGATAAAGTTGTCTGAAAGAACCAGTCCGACTGAGGGGAGGGAGAAGAAAGAGATGTTAGTCGGGGGGGGGATCCTCAATCGACAAGGGGATTGTCCGGGGTGGTGGGTTGATAAATGATTTTTTTAATTTTTTTTTTTTTTCTTTATTGATTTTTTCCTCTTTTTCTTTTCTTTCAACCGCGGTACCAAACCGAGCGAACTAGATACAATGCAAAAGAGTGGACGTACCAGACTTGTAGGACCGTGGGAAAAGGAGAGAATCCTGACACCAATCAACGTGAAGGAAACGTGCCCGACAACCAGGATTCGAAACTGGGAAGAATGCAAGAAATACTACGAAGTGGCTCAAGAATGAGAGAGAGGGGGGGAAGAGAGAAGCGAGGGATGGAAGAAGTAAGTACTCAGTAGAGGGAGAAGTAGAGGGAGAAGTGGATCTCAGGGAAATGAAAGAAATGAACGAAATCAAAGAGGGGAAAAGCAGATCGAAAGGAACGATTGATATTGGTCTGTCTCTCCTTTATACATTTCTGATGAAGATTGATTAAAATGAAATGAAGGAACCATCGATGCTCCCAGATCTGTATTGGTACGGAGTAGTATAGTAGTAGGTAGTGGTATTATGGTATTGTGTATACCACGAGATATCAGGCATACAGGTATTGTTATTGGGCAATGCCTGCCGATTGGCCTGAGGACTCAGGATATCCTCCAGGCCTCAGGCCAAGGTTCCTGACTCTGGTTACACTCTAGGTTAGGTTAGCCCGTTAGTACTAGTAGTACCTAGTAGTCGTGGTACTCTCCCTCTCTAGGAAGACCAATACGATAGTACGAGAGTACGAGAGTACAAGAGTAATACGATACGTAAAAAAATGTCTCACCGGATCCACTTCCCCATCTTAACGGAAAAACATCCGATCATATTATAGACAATATTATGGATAATATCGTCCATAATATGACTCCTCCCTTTCATTTCCCTATAATCCCACTGTTCATTGCATGAACTACCACCCCTCGTGCATGGGCTAAGAAGCTAATTACTCCTTTGGTTTCTCTCCCTTCCGACCAGTTTACCCCGGGAAAAACATCATACGCATACCTCGGTGCCTAGTCACAGAGTCAGTCATTTCTCCTTACCGGAGGACAGGGGGTTTCAGGGTCGATGCCCTCATCTCCGGGTGAGAGACACTCCATGTCATCTGTCATCTTATCCCAACCGTTGGTTGCATGGTCTCAGCTGATCCCCCACAACGGTTGGATCAATACCCTTTGATAGGGTCTCACGTGGATCATCATCCGCAAGGGATGGGCCTTTATATGCAGCTTTATATGCATGAGATGATGCCTCTCCTGTACCCCCTCGATCATTGTTTCTGGACTGGTGACGTATTTGGATTACAACGGCTTCATACACTCCGTCCTCTGTAGTACTGGATAGGTACAATAGTATGATAGGAGATGGATACTAGGCGTACTTCATTTTACACGGATGGACTAGTCCGTCGCTACGAGAACGACCCTGCCCTGCCCTGCCCTGCATCCATCGAGCGATAGTTTAGGTAGTAGTGCCTACCTATCAACCCAGTGGCCCACCTCCGGCCCTTCTGCAGCATGCGGACTATCTTAATCTCGTCGCAGGCCAATGCCACTCTACCTGAATACAATCTCGCGCCCAACCGTTGTGCATTAGTGACGCTCCTGCCCTATCTGACAAAAGCCCCTGCATCATGCCGTGTCATCCTCCCCGGCGTCGTCGGTGCAATTCTCGTCCTTCGGTCCCGCACGTCGGAGAAGATGTTTCTCCCCCTGGAACCGAATCCATCCTGCGACATGAACATAGACATTGATCCACCGATTTCATAGGGAAGGAAAGAAGGGACGCGAATGAATATCAAGAGCACGACAAGACAATGAAATCAAGAAATAAAGAAGCAGGAGAAAATTAACGAAGCCCCCCTCGTGTCCACCGTCAACGTTCGAATCCCATCAACCCACGTTGCGCCCTGCTCCCGCCCCTAGTTCTACCCCGCCAAGTGACCCGGCTCGCATAGGGCTTCTTATTTTCATTTCAACCCCTGTCGTCTTTAATTCTCTCCTGTCGCTTTCGCCTTCCTTTTCCTATTTCTCTTATCTTTCTTTCTTTCTTTCTTTTTTTCTCTTGTCTTTTTTATTTTTCTTCTTTTTATTTTTCTATTTTATTTTTACTTTGCTTTTCATTGGTTATCAACCAAAGCGCGACAGATCATGTCGTGCCAGTCAGTCCAGTCAAGTCAACCGCTTCGACGGAGTAAATGATGCCGAATTTGGTCTGTCTCCGCTGCGCAACCCAGCAGATCACCGCAAGGGTCGCTTCATTAGGTTCTTGGCCGCGTGCGAGCGTGTGGTCTCCTTGACCAACACTAGCTCCTTCTCGCATGGGTCCGACGAAAAGGTCACTGACACCCCGTGGTAGGGAGTCCGCGCCATCTTCCAGCGGCTGAACATGTCCAGCACCTTGCGCGCAACGATGGTGTTGGTGAACACGGCGGTGGCTGTCACGGGTGCCAGGTCAGCAATCTATCATGTGGCCTAATATCGGGCTGCCAAAAGGCAGGGCGGACTCACCATTCCCAGAGTTGAACACCCAGAGAAAGTCAATGTTACCGGGCCCCGCCACGGCGCGGATGTCCTGCTTCCACTTCTCCGGGGACATGTTGTCCGCAAAGAGTCGCTTGCGCGCAAAGGACAGGCGGCGGCGCTCTCGAACCGGCTGGTTCATGCGACGGTGATCTTCGTTCCAATCGATGATCTCGGCCAATTCGACATGGTAGCCGCATCCAAAGCGCCCAAACCCGAGCATCTGCTCCATTTCCTGGTTTGACTTCAAAAACGCAAGCGCCTGCGACGCATGCTGGAAGGTCACGCGGGTCCTTCCGTTGGTCTCGAGGCGGATCTCCTGCAAAGGGCCCTCGTGAATCCGGGTCGTGATGAACTGGATGATATCCTTGGAGATACGTCCGTAGACCCGAATCACGCCGGCCTTGGCTTCTGGGATTTCTGGAAGCACGTTGGATGGAGGTGCAAGGGCCGCAAAGGCTTGCGCCTGGGTATCGCCCTCGTCGTCACTGTTGTTATGGCTCTGTTTGGACACCATCGACATGGGCGACATGTACTGCGCAGTCTCCCGGCGAGGGGCCGCGGCGCCCGAGAGGGAGCCGGCCACTTGAGCCCAGCTTCCAGTCTGGGGGAGCTGTCCGTTGTGGATGACGCCCTCCTGCGATGGCACGCGCAGGTCGTCGGTATTTCCTTTGTTTTCTCTCTCGACCTCACTCATGAGGGCGGCAACAGCTTGCTTCTGGAGCGAATTGTGGACGATAGCCCGGTCTCCAATGACGCCGGGGCTATTTCCAGACTGCCGTGGCAGGTCAGGTCCATGTCTCACGCCCAAGGGTTGGAGAGATATGTTCACCGGATGATCCAGGTTAAACTCAGTAGCAGGTATGTTTTCCACGGCTTCGGAGAACACGGTGACAACCATGATGCCCAGCTTTCCAATCTCGTTTGCAGCTTTATGCTGTCCATGCTTGCGTAGCTACGGATGTCAGTGCGACCTGTTTCCCCTGATGCCGAACCACCAGATCCTTACATGGTTTGTAACGTGGTCAAGGTTAGCCAAGGCCTCAGCCATGGCCGCATCGATGGAATTGGCCACCATGGTGAGAACCGTGGATCTCACAGATATCAATAGCAATAGCAATACTTGTGGGTCGGCGGTGGCTGTACCTCGAGGTACCTAGTGCTCACTGTGTTTCCGTGGGAAATAGATCGAAGCCTGTATGCAGAGGCTTGGTTGTGGTAGCCAGTGTCACATTCAAGCAGCACTAAAAGATGGTTCAAGACTCACCTTTCAAAGCCAAAACAGGCTCCGTCGACTGGAATATCCCAGAAGGAAGAAGCACGCTGATGTGACAGCAGCGGAATGTCAAAACACTGAAGGATACAGGAAGTACAGGATTAGAAACACGACAGAGATGACAAGTAGATGCAACAGAGCGACAGTATAGACAGAAGCTAGCAAAAAAGACAAGAACACTCCACGCAAGACCTGGGCTCTGAAGATCTTTCTCGAAGTGAGCAGAACAGCCGGTTGAGGTGAAGCTTTCCAGAAAGTGATAAACAGATGGAAACAGATGACCAGAGCGATAAGAAGAAGAAAAGATTCAGAAATGATATGAAATGAAGGCAGAGAATAGAAAGAAGGAGAAGAGCGAGACTGTGTGAGAGTGAGTGGGTGAGAGGAAGACAGAGAGTATGGGAGAAGCAAGCGGAACAGATATGGTCGTCCCTCTTCATTCATCATGCGACAATCGAGTGAATGCACACTGCATATTGCCCCTCGTCTTTTCTACTGTTGTCTTTCACTCGATTCATTCACAATCGATTGTCTGCCAGCCAGCATTATCCTCCTGTGGGGCCTCAATCCATATAGTCTGGTGGGCATACACCTTAAGTAGAGGACACTCCATGACTACTCTAGGAAAATAAGACCATAAATTGAATACATAGTAGCTATGCTTCTGCAGAACTCAACATGGTCTGGGTTACAGAATTGCTTTACTCTTCTCTCGTGCATACCCCATCGATCAATATACAAGCACATACTATCAACTAACAAACCCAGGCGAACATGACCTCCCAGCGGACCACTCGACCGTAAACCATCCCATACACGCAGGTAGCTTCCTAGCTTACGCAACCCAACAAAACACAGACAGAGAAGGCAAAACTTCAAAGTTCCCCATATCAAATCTTACCCGGGAGTCAATCCGACAGCGGCGGAAAGTTCCTCACAAAGCTGCGCAACCAAAATTAGCAAATTATTCTTCTTTTCCATATCAATCACGTTGACAACAGAGACAGGCATAACATACTGAGCCGGGCACTCATAACCCCCCGGATTCTTATCCAAATACAGCTGATGATACTCCTCCGCATCCCACCACTGCGCAGCAGGGATAATCACCGTCGAAATCGGCTGCTTATACCACTGCTTCGACACCTTCTCCGTCACGTCGCGCGCAATCTTCTCCTGCTCCTCGCCGTGCGTGAAGATCGCGCTGCGGTACTGCGTGCCGACATCGGGGCCCTGCCGGTTAGCGGTTGTGGGGTCGTGCATGCGGTAGAAGAATTCCAGCAGAGAGCGGTACGTGACGGTCGAGGGGTCGAAGGTGAGCTCGACGGCCTCGGCGTCTTTCGTTCCATTTATCAGCATTATCGATAAAACGAAGAATGGGTTGGCTTTCTAGCCTGTGAAAGATCAAACTTACGCCCCGTGTCTCCACTACACACAGCCCGATAAGAAGGCGACGCCGTCGAGCCACCGCAGTAGCCCACTTTGGCGTCCAACACGCCCTTCCCGTTGCCGAAGTTCTTGCGGAACAGGTGCTCCACGCCCCAGAAGCAGCCGGCGGCGAGGGTGGCTTTTTCGGTAGAGTGCGACATGGTACGCGAGGCTGCTGATCCCGGCGCAAGCGAGAGAAACGGCGTGTTAGTGGAGAATGGCCGGGTGAGTCGGGAGAAGAGAGAGAAGCGGATTGTTGATGCGGTGAAATTCATCAAGTTACGTGCGTACGTACTTGGAAGAAATTGAATTGGCTTTCTCCGCTTTCGCGGACGGTTTCCGGTGAGGTGGGAGGGAGGGGCGGGCGTGTAAGGGCCGCGTTTGCTGCGATTCTGGTGATTACTATCCCGAAAACTTGGAGAGGGGTGGTGTGCCGGGTAGAGATTATGTGTCTCTAGATGAGCCAAGGTATATCGAGTTTGACCAACTCCTCGAACGGAGCTTCGAGTTAAAAGCTATTGTCTGGGGGTTTGGTTCTAGAGGGAATTAAGTGGGTCGGTTGGAGATGGGCGCAGTGGCGTCATTCGACCATGACATAACTAGTAGCTAATGATATGCCTACCGTGATAATTGCTGAGGTAATCAAGAGATATCCAGCATGGAGTGTGTATCTATCATTGAAAATGTCGGGATGCAAGCTACTTTCTATGCAAGAGACAGATGCGGATGCAGCTGTCGGGATAATAGTAAAACTGCAATGAGGTCTCGTATTGTACAGGAACGCGCCCCGAGAATAAAAACTATGTCCATAACAAAGCACATGAACAATCAACACAAGAAGGAAGATAGTACAGCAACATGTTTCCAAGTCATCTTGCAAAGGTCAGAAACCGGCACCCAGAATGGGATTTATAGAAAACACGGCGTTTGAATGAACCCGAATCCAAACCCGCCCTGTCTTGTTCGCTCAAAGAACTAGACCCGAGAAAAAAAAAAGAAAAGCAAATGGTATCTGTCTCCCTGAACACCGTCCAAATCACCCATGTCGTAACCGCAGTGAAATAAAAAAAAAAAGGGATGGAAATAGAAAAAGGTTCATAAAGTGTGTCAAACGATCACCCAGCTAAAAGTCCTCTGGAGACCGCGCGACATGGGGGGTCGCCATGGCACTGAGCCGGATGGCGTCCCTGCTTGTGAGGCTAATATCGCGAGAACGGAGTTCTCCACCAAATGTGGTCCGTCGCTGACCCGTGTTCTTCATGATAGGCAACGCGCGAGGGCTCAAGACTCGCGGCTTGGCCTCGGCTTCCTTTTCGGACTTGGCCAAGCGTCGCGCTTGGGACGTGAACATCAGGTTCTCGGGCGGAGAACTGCCGTAGGTGGCAGACCCAGGGCTCCGTCGACGTTGAACACGGAGCGCATTCATAGACGGCCCAGGGCCGAAATTACCACTGGAAATCCGTCTCATGGCGGAGCTGATTCTCTGAGCATCATCTTTGTTGGCCGTCCAGGTCTCTTTGGCCTCCGATACTGGACTGTTAGAGTAGCTTCCGCTGGAGGTCCGCACCGGCATCTTGGAGGGACGTTCGGCGTAGACGCGGTTCAAGAAACTGCTGTTCTCGATGTCACGAAGAGGGGAGCCATCGCCGTCGTTGAGAGGCAGGCTAGCGGAAGGAGGTGGCCCCAGCGGGGAGCTGCCGTTCTTCTTGGACAAGAACCCGGCCTTGAATCTGTTGTTCTTCTGGACATTCAAGGAGGACTCGGGGCCCGCAGGAACGGGGGAGTACCGACCGGAAGGACTGAAGCTACGGGTGGGCACGGGGATGCCCCGTGGAATAGGCGAAGCCCTTGGTAGCGTGGGCTCGGGGCTATCCTCGCGACTAACTTCCTGGATGGCCTTCGGTACGGCCTTTTGCGGCGTCCTCTGGAACTCAGTGAGAGTGCCATCCTGCTCGTCATCCTTCCAGCGGACACTTCTTTTGTTGATCCGGACCTGGGACTTCTTCGGCGAGATTGCGACACTCTTTCTGCCGGTCGTCGGTCTGCGGCGCCGAGGAGACTTGGGAGGTGATCCGGGCTCGGCAGGAGTAAAATTGATGGGTGCGCTCAGGGTTTTTCCGGCAGGTAAGCTAACCAAGCTGGTCCTCTTCTTCGGTTTGATTGGACTGGACTTGATAGGACTCATGGGTGGCATGGCGGGCAAGCTGCCATCCGGCTTCACCACCTGAGAGGCCACGGTGGAGCATGACTCGAGCATCTTGGTGAGAATCTTCTTGCCCGCTTGAATCGCCTCCTCTTCGCTCAACTCCATGATGTTCTCCACCGCTGTTACGGTCTCAAATTGGGCTTGAAGCAGCAGCTGGACGGTGGCCGCTTCACCCGCCTTGTCCTGCTCGGCAACTGCGGACAGAGCCTCACGGTCGGCGTTGGATCGCAGGAGCTCTGCCTCGCGATTGAAATTGGCATAGTCGCTGTTATCGCTGATGTCAAATTCTTGCAGCTGGCGAATGGCATGCTCCACTGCGGAATTCAGCCCTCGGTCCCAGTTGCTCTTCGCCAATCGTTGGTGGTAGTGTTGCCGGCTCCCTTCTAACTCCAGGAGGATCCCTTGCGCCGTCCTGCGGATTGCTTGGAGATTCGCCAGAGGCACTTCATTCTCTGACCCCTCGCACACGGTATCGAAGGCGGCAATCCACGAAGACAGCATGCCGATCCGGCGGCTGATCTGTCTCAATTTGATCATGTGGTTGGCCTTCTCCTGCCTCTCGGGCAATGAGTGTTCGTAAGCGTTGCGAATTCGCGAGACTCCCTCGCGCATCACGGCATCTTTTTTCTCGGTTTGTTTTTTGAATTTGGCAAAGGCCGCCTTTTCGGCATCCTTTTGCTGCGCCTTCAGCTCGTTGATCAACTTCATCTGCTCATCGATCTTCACCAAGAAGTCCTTCACGTGACGGTTGACGTTGAACACATTTCTCGTCACCTTGGTCTGGATATTCTTGGCTCGGTTGGCGTAGCGGAGCGTGTTTTGGGTTTCGTCGAAATGCTGGCTTGAGGGACTGACACAGACAATCATCACTGTCCTGCAGTTGCCGCCTAGGGAGAATTTGAGAAGGCGGGTAAGTTTGGAGTTTCGGTAGGGGACATGGTTGTGCTTTCGGGGGTCGCAGAGGGCATTGATGCAGCTGCCGAGCGCCAGGAGAGATTTGTTGATGTTTGCGCCTTCGAACAGACGCTCGCCTCGATTCTTTGTAGCGCTAGCCCGCTCACTTCCTGCCAGGTCGATGATACTGAAAGTGGCCATTGTGTGTGGTTCGTTAACGTCGGCATTGCGGTCTTTCTGGGCGATGTTGATCTGTAGGACGGCATGGGATCGGGATGAGGTGGCATTCGCTTCCGTCGGAGACATGGTTCGGCATTCATTGCCTCGCATGATCATGTCCATCACCTGTTGCACGTTCTGTGGGTGGTGGCTCGACAGTCCTGCTACCGAAACCGACTTATTGGTGTCCTCCCGCAGCATCAAACCGCCCTTGCTCCCTCCGGGAACCAGAAGATCACGAATGGTTTCGTTGTAAATTTCCAGATACGAGAGCGTCACTTCAGTTGCCTTCTCTCCCGACCTCTCGTCGATCCGCTCGAATAATTCTTGCATGGTGAGGAAGATGACACCCGGTTGCTGGGCTGTTCCGGTGATCGTGTGCGTCTTTCCGCAGCCGGTTGCGCCGTATGCAAAAACCGTGGCATTGTACCCATCCAGAACGCTGTCCAGGAGGTTTCGGCTGGTCGATTCGTACACCTCACCTTGCGAGGCACTTTGGTCGAAGATGCGGTCGAAGGCGAACGTCTGATCCTTCACCCGTTTACCGTTGGGAATGACGCTTCTGGAGAATTTCTGTACGGGGTTGTCTTCCGGGGGGTCGAAGACCCTGTTCCGACACCAGTTAACGCTGGGCTTCAAGTAAAAGAACAGAAGATAGAATGGAACAAAAAGAAAAGAAAACAACACAAACAAAAGGAGACAACGTAGAAGTAGAAAAGAAAGACCAAGACAGAAATAGCCGATAAGGACTTGCACTCACAAGCATCTATCGTCAATCACTTTGACGATGGACCGGATCCCCTTCTGATTGAGCTTAGGGGTCGGAGCTCCCGCCAACGAGCCCTCTCCCAGAAACAGCGGACCATCCTCACATTTCGAAAGCTGCGCCGCCTCTCGAATAGTAAACGGCCTGACTCGGACGGCCACAGTGATGGAGGCAGCATCCGAAGTAGACGCCATCGTGTCTGTTTGTTAGTGTCGACCAAGGCGTCACGTCCCTCCCGATCGAGGAGGATAAATATGACGGGAAGGAGGATGGGCCGGAAAGGGCTGATTGATCGGTAGAGTGTCCAGCGACGGCCTACTCCGTCGACGTAGGCAAAGAAACGGGTAGCGAAAGAGTGCGTATCGAAGAACAGGTAGTCGAGTCGGGTCGCGGGGTCATATGAGTGCGTGAGGAATGTTGACTCCGGAGCTATATAGTCGTAGCCCCCGGGAATTCCCCTTTTCGTTGTTATTGTTGTCGGTGATCGTTGTTTTGTCGGTGAGGTCGGTGGTGGAGTGAGGTTAGTTGCATTCTTAGCTCGTCGTCCGTTTCATTCGGGTGGAGAGTTGTTGACTTGTTGACACAGGGGTTGTGTTTTCCGCTGACGGTTGCTCCGAGCAACAGCCGGAGTGCGTGTTCCCTAAGTGGATTTGGTCGTGGGTTTAGTGGATTGCCCCATAAGGCTGGGAACATGTGTTAGCCAAGGCTTATTGTCACGCACTATTTTCCGTTTATGCGGGGGGCGTTGATCTCAATACTTGTGTCGCTGTGGCTTCGCGGTTGAAGGGATGAACCATATCTGAAACCACATTATATGGTACCAATGTTCTCATTTCATTCGATACCAAAAGACATGCTTTAGCTAAGTTTAGCTTGGATTTAAATAGAATTCAAACACATCAAGGAGGTGGGGCACCATTGGAATGCTTCATGTGTTCTGCACTTGGTCGATCAACCAGATAAACATCGTCTTAGGTATTCCTTTTCCAAACTATGGGATATAAGCATCGACTACTCCATACTAGGATCCATGGTTTCTGTACCGTACTAGACAGCTTGGACTTGTGAAAGGTGGGTAAAAAGCCAGCCTGTCATGTCCTACTCGCTCTCTTCTGTTCCTTTTCTTGTTAGATTCCCTCCTATAGCACCCCAGGGGAATCCGTGGGTTGTATCTTTAGCTCAGGCGCTCGGGAAAAATGCAGAATCAAAGATCCTTCACGACGGAGGTGTTTGGATAGAGCTCAAGAGCTTCAGACCGAGCCCCTCCATGACTACCAAGGGTCCTTGATCGTCGTGAGACTCCAAACGTCTGACAAATTCGTATGCTTCTAGAAATCCACTAGATGCAGACACTCTCTGGGGAAAGAGGGGTATGTCACCCCATTGTACATCTGATCCTTGTACAGAAGAAACAGTAGACGTTACCCCGCGGGAAGTTATATCCCCACTACCACCAAATGGGACACATATATCTGTTCAAGTGCACTTGATCACTTGATCGCCGTGATACAATCATTCGGTCATTCCAATCAAGATGTAGAGAAGGTGGAGTAGAACGGAGTATGGAGAGACTGTGTGGAATGCCAGAGTATCCAACCCTCTACGGGGGAGAGTATCAACTATAATAACTTGAGGTTGTATCATCCTTGTGTTTGAGCGGCCGGTCAATCCATACCCATTCAGGCCTCACACTGATTTCTTTTCTTTACCTGGTCTCATCTATTCGTCTGCCATTCCTGGACCGAGAACCGACGACCTGACGATCATTGTCGGGGAGGGGTTGCTGTCCCATACCATTCCTAGACCTCGTCTCTAGTCTGTTGGATCGGTTTCCTCCGATCTTTGTGCGAATCTACGACCATCTACTCCCCAACTCACTTCTTCCATCCTTCTTCTCATCAACACTTGTCAATCCACCTCCGTTATACAACACCCACACTATCATATATAATCAAAGCTGGACAAAAAGTTAATCCAATATATGACTCTACGCAAGAGACGAGAATATAACAATCAACAATAGCAAATAAGCCCGGGGGGGAAGAAGAAGAGGAAGACGAAACATTCGTCAATCCACCCCACTCACTGCCGAAAGAGTTCCCCCTCCTCACACAAAAGTCTTCTGATTCGGCATCTCCCATCATGATCGACTCAATCCTCAGTCTTCCAAGTGACCAATAAATACCCCATCATCCTCCTCCCACCCAATACAACGAAGGGAAGACGATTGATAGTCGGATACGGTGAGAAAAGCATTCGGACGGCGCGGTTCTTGGCGCTGACAATCCCCGGTGGAGCTCGACCACATTTTATTTGACGTTGGTGATCCCCGCTTTCATAGTGCTGGAAGCTCTCTGCGCGCTCTCTCTCCCGTCTGGCTCTCTCGCTCGCCTAACTCATCGTCATGCTCTTTCGCAGTTCTTCCGGCCTCAATCTGTCGCTTCGGATCTCTCCCGCTCAATCTTTACCATTTGAGTCGCATTCCATCTCGACCGGCCCCGATCGCGAACGTGGTCCCGCTTCTGACTACTCCCACCTTGACTCCCCGAATTTCCGCCCCCCGCGCCGTGGTTAAGAAATGTCTCTCTAAAGCTCCCGCGCGGTTTCCCACCCCGTCTCGTCGACGTCATCGGTCCATTGCCCCGATTTCCGATACACGACCTACCATTTTCGATCTCGCCGAATTTTTGATCTTCGACCATATCTGTCGGTCTCTCTGCGCGAAGCGATCTCACATTTTTGATCATGCGGCGTCATGGCAGGGCTAGTGGAGGGACCAAAGCCGTCACTCCCGTCTCCGACACGGTCTCGCTAATCCATTCGTTCGATTCCGTCACGAACCCCAATCGTCCGGTTCGCCCGTCACCGCTGGCGTCGTCGAACATCAAGGCACTACCCTTGGACCTCGTCGACCGCCTACGCTCCTTTCCTCTATTCCAAGCCACCCCCGAATCCTTCCTATTCGCCGTCGGTCAGCACCTACGGCCGCAGCTCCACGCTCCCAACGATTATATCCTGACGGAAGGGGATGATGCCAAAGCGATCTACTGGTTGGTTCGCGGGGCTGTCTCCGTCACCTCGCGCGATGGTGAAAGTATATATGCAGAGCTCGAACCGGGTGCCTTTTTTGGCGAGATCGGCGTGTTGATGGATCGCCCGCGGACGGCGACCATCATCGCCCGCACCCGGTGTATGCTGGTCGTTCTGACCAAAGAAGACTTTCGGAACATCCTCCCTCGGTTTCCCGACGTGGAACGGGCCATCCGGGATGAGGCCCAAGAACGGTTGATGATCCTGGAGAAGAAGAAGAAGGAAACCTCGGCGCCCGCGGTCGACTTCGCCGGCCCCGCTCGGAGAGGTTCCAAGCGGCTACGGGATACCTTTTCCCGTGATCAGACTTTGGCCGACCCCGATCGTGCCAGCTTGAAGTCCGGTACGGGGAACAAGAAACGCAAGTCGCCGAGTCCGGGCATCAAGGACGGGACCTCGAGCGCTCTGGCCAACGGGCTAGTGAATGTCCGTCTCTTGCTGAAAGAACTGCCGCTGTTTGCCAGCCTACCGGCAGATATCCTCCACTTTCTGGGCCTCAATGCGCAGCCCTGTTCGTACCCTCCTTTCACCGACATTATCAAGCAAGACTCCCAAGGCCGCGAAATCTATTTTATTGTGCGGGGCGAAGTGGAGGTCCTCTCTGAACGGGCGGGGCAATCGGGTTCGCGATCCCCCATCAACACTCTCGACCATCCTGGCTTCGAAGTGAAGGCCAGATTGAAACAGGGCCAATATTTTGGCGAGGTGGTGAGTTTGTCTCTCGCCCCGCGCAGAACCGCCACGGTCCGCTCCATCAGTGCGGTCGAGTGCCTCATGATAAGTGGCGACGTGCTTGCCGAATTTTGGGACAAGTGCCCCCAGAGCGTTCGCCAGCAGGTGGAGAAAACCGCCAAGGAACGACTGCAGTCCGCCGCCGATGGCGACGTCGTCATGGCGGAGGCGGGAGACACGGCGGGCGCCGTCGAGGATGAGAGCGCCGGGATCCGGCCCCCCAGAGCGCAGCACATGCCGCTGCTCACCCTGACGGAAACGGAATTGGACGGGTCTCACAAACCGAACGGGAGGGATGACCAGACCGTCCTGCGGCCATCGGACCCCGACCCCTTTCTCAATGTCGGCCTGGACAAGGTTCGCCTGCGCAGTCGACGCGGGTCAGTCGCTCCATTGACGCCGGAGGAAGTCTCCGGGGAACAACAGCGGCCCACGCCACCGTCGGAGCCTCGAAGCTCCAGTTCGTCCTTCCTCACCCGATCGGACGCGGCGGTCTCGCCCACTCCGAAGTCTCCGCGCGAATCCCACCGGGACAACATCGGTCTCCTTCCCGATAAAATCCTTGTCAAGGTCTTTGACTACCTGGACCTTCATGATCTTCTGCGCCTTCGGGGGGTCTGCCTCCATTGGTCGGAGATTCTCACCAAGTCGCCCGATTTGCTTCACTACCTCGATCTCAGCACTTATAATCGACTAGTCACCGACGATGTATTAGGGAAGATCATCTGCCCGTTTGTTGGCAACCGACCGCGCCATGTAGATATCGGCAATTGCTTTCACATCACCGACGAGGGGTTCAACAAGTTGATCGCCACATGTGGCTCAAATATTGTCTCCTGGAAGATGAAGAGCGTCTGGGATGTCACTGCATCTTCCATCCTCGAAATGGCGAGCAAGGCAACCAGATTACAGGAAGTGGACTTGAGCAACTGCCGCAAGGTTGGCGACACGTTGTTGGCTCGGATGATTGGATGGGTTGTTCCGGGCCAGCATAAGCCCGTTGATGAGCCGAACAAGACGGGGAAATCCGTTTTGAAACCTACCATGCAAACTGAGGCTGGCACGGTGTATGGCTGTCCAGAGCTCAAGAGGTTGACGCTGTCCTACTGCAAACATGTGACGGATCGGTCAATGCACCATATTGCGTCCCACGCAGCTTCCAGGATTGAACAAATGGACTTGACCCGTTGCACGACGATTACGGACCAAGGGTTCCAATACTGGGGGAACACACAATTTACCAACCTGCGAAAGCTAACCTTGGCGGATTGCACCTACCTAACGGATAACGCAATCGTCTATCTAACGAATGCTGCAAAACAACTACAGGAGCTTGACTTGGTAAGTCCTTGGCTCCTATCATTATCGTGAGACAGATACTTACATGGTACAGTCGTTTTGTTGCGCTTTGTCCGACACCGCAACCGAAGTGCTTGCCCTCCAGTGCTCTCAGTTGACGTATTTGAACATGTCGTTTTGCGGCTCCGCCATCTCCGATCCGTCCCTTCGCAGCATCGGCCTCCACCTCTTGCACATGAAGCGACTCTCTGTGCGTGGGTGTGTTCGAGTCACGGGCGCCGGTGTTGAGGCGGTCGCGGACGGCTGTAACCAGCTCGAGTCCTTCGATGTCAGCCAGTGCAAGAACTTGACTCCATGGATCGAAGACCACGGGCCAGATAAGTATAGTAATAGGATCTTCTTCGAGACTGTCGCCCAAAATGGCCGAGTGTTCCGATGATCCCCCTAGCTTGATCTTCTTATTTGATCACTACATCACACATATATCAACATCTCCGGCCTATTGGCTTGGAATATCCTCACAGGATACAGGTTTACTCGACAAAAGCGAGTATCTATTGCTTAATATCCTCCATTTTTCTCCTTTTATACCTGTTTACCTCTTTCCTTGATCTATCCATGTTTCTTGAGTCCTACTTGCCATTCCTTACTTCACTCGCTTGGTCTGCCTTGGTGTTCTTGTCTTCAGGAGTTGTGACCGTCTTCGATCTTCCGGTGTATCACGATTGATGATCATTCTGGGTCTGCTTTGCATCACATTCGATGCCTGGACTGCATTGACCCCCCGACATCTACCCGTTTTCTATGTCTCTTCTTGTTTGCTTTTTTTCTCTCCTTTCTGGGCTCGATCGGGACGCTTTTTACGATTTCTATCCAGGTTACTATATGGGAACTCGGGCATGGAAGGAGTTTTGACCCTGGAGATAGAAAGGGCAGCATAAATTGTTCAAGGACTGGTTTTGTATTTCTCCCATTTTGCATGTCGAGGCGGAACAGGCAAGCGGCCTCGACAACTTACTCTGTATCTTAGATCTTTTCTTTTCTTTTTTCTTTATGTTACTGGAGATACCTCTTGTAGCTGAATAGAAGTGTTCATACGCGTGCAGGTTAGGTTTTCCTTTGGGAAACAAAGATCATAGAGTGAAATCCTTCTTTGTTTCCTTTTGTTCATTCATCTTTCTTGTGATTTTTTCGTTCTCCCTTTCACTATCATTCACGTCAACGCCAAGCAATTATACCCCCTTCAGACTAATGAATACTCTGTGCTATTGTCCCCTGGTTAGCAACAAAAAAGAGCCAACATGTCAGAACAAAGCCACAGATCATTCATCCAAGGAATCCCCACGCCATTATTCCCTTCATCCCATCGTAGCCTCGCACTCGGCGCCGTCGAAAACAATGATTTCGATCCAGCCACACCTCCCATCAAATCCAAACGCTTTGTTTTCACTATGGGAACTCGAAACATGATCGACGTGCTCTTCTCTGGTTCACGACGACAGATAGCGTCGAATGTCAGGAGGATAAATACACGGGTAATCCTGTCGACGATTTCTCCTTTCCCATCATCATCATCATCGTCAGCTCTCATCTCTCAGTCACCAATAATCGCCTACCAGTGACCGCATCATACTTTGCTAGTTGAGTACAAGTCTCCATTTGCACATCTCTGCGTTGACCGTCAGAGACTCTCCTACACTTACAGTCCTACCAGCAGTTACATCAACAGCCACACCCACATTCACAAAATGGCCCCAAGAAAGCGCACCGCCAAGCAAGCCAACCTGGACCAGGAGTACAGGCTCTCCATTTCAGAGTCTGTCCCGACCTCCTCAGCAAACAACGAGCCCTACGCCCTCAGGAAGCGGCCCAACCGGATGCCAACACCCAAGGTTAGAACCAAAACAGCTGGAGAAAACACGGCCAAAAATCCCGCGAAAGACGCACGTTCCCTTGTGCGAAAGTCCACCACGACTGGCGTAGGTAAGACTAACCCCACTGCTAAATCCGCTGCTGTTGCTGCTGCGAGACCACAGGGCGTCCGGAAAAGCGAACGGGTTAGAAAGCCTCCCCAGCTTTATGAGGCGCCCTCTCGTGAAGAGGAGCGCGCCCAGAGAGAACGCTTGGCTGCCGAGAGGGCTTTGAAGAGGAAGAAATTGGCTACTAAGCAGACTGCGAAACAGACTGCGAAGCAGACTACGAAACAGCCTACTAGACGGCCTACGAAGCAGACTACGAAGCAGGTTACAAAACAGACTACGAAACAGGTTACAAAGCAGCGTACGAGACAGCCTACGGCAGAGCCTACGTGTGACTATTGCGAGGTAAGCATGCATCTATCTTTCCTTCCTTCCCTTCCTTCGCCCTTCTCTCACGGGATAGGTGGTTTAGTTTGCTGATACTAACATTCAACAGGAGATGAATAGGAGATGCATCATAGACTCGGAAGGCTGCAATTGGTGCAATCGTGATGGAATGATCTGTTCCCTAACGGACCCAGTAACCGGAGAGGTTGTATACTACGGAGAAACAGGGTTCACTGGATCGGATTCAGACGAGGTCGACTCACAGGCAACAGTGACTGACGTTAACATGATCTCCTCAGACTCCGAAGACGAGCCGCAACAACAACAACAGGCCAACGATGGTGAGAATCCCGACTTCTCGCAAACACTAGGACGCACTGACGAGGCGAATGATGAAGGTCACGCCCCCAACCCGCCGCAGGCAGGAATCGCCATCCTCCAGCAGCAAATCGCCCAGTTGCAGCAGACGAACCGGAACCTGACAACCCAGAATCAAAACCTGACAGCCCAAAACCAGAACCTCCAGACCCAATACGATGACCTTCACGCCCAGCACGAGGCCCTCGTCCTGTCGTATGGGTCCCTCGAGGCGACCCAGAACATGGCAGCGCTGGACCAGGACATGGAAAACCGAAGCCAAGACCTCCAGGCCCAGTTCCGTGACCAGGCCTTCCAGAACCAGTACCAGAAGGCCCTCGCGGCGCACCAGAACCTCGTTGCATCGCATCAAAACCTCCAGATTCAGTACAACGCCTTGACAGACACGAACGAAAGCCTGCGCCGCCAGCTCTCAAGATACACATCTGTCCTGCCCGCACAGCCAGGCGTAAGTCGTCCTCCCCCCCCCCCCCTTCCTCCCCTTTCCCTCCCCCATTTCCCCTTCCCACACCAGAGAAAAGACTAACTAACGCATGATATTCAAACCAACAGGCCAATTCCCCCGGCGCACAAGGAGAGCGCGGAATAAGCCCCTGGCGCCTAGACATGGCAGAGTTTCTCGACCTCTCGCAGGCCGGGCCCAACTCCAACCTCCACGACCCCGACGCCATCAATGCCCTGCTCCTCGCCGAGCACGACCCCGCCAACCAGCCGGCCCGCTCAATCGAGGACGTCGCCGGCCAGACCCCGCTAGACGCCCAGGAACAGCAACTCGCCGACCATGCCTTCCGCGAAGGATGTCAGGATCCGATGATTTCTGGCGAGATGGCGCCTTCTCCTGATGATCAGTCTATGACAGATATGCCGGATTTTTCTTAATTTGGTTTGGTTTGGTCTTGGCTGGCTGGTGAGGGTGGAGATGCTGATGCTGGTTTGGCTGATGATTTGTGCTGTGCACTATCTCTAGGACAGACCCGCCGTGAGTGATTAAGTCTGTTTTGGGGTTGGATACGGGGAGTTTTGTCTGTGCTATGCTGTGGTGAGTGAGAAGACCCTGGCGGCTAACTCACTAATGAACTAGGGCTACCAGATACTCACTTATATAGGCGGGATGTTCAGAATGTCGTCCCTCCTGCTCCAATGTCTAGGTATTTCCCTTTCCCTTCCTCCCTGTTTTTGTTTCTCTATTGCATTTCTGGTCTCTTCTGGTGTCCTGTTGTTCGTTTCTTTCGTGCTACATTTCATAGAGTTGCTTGCCCTGGGGTTTGGAATTTGTTAGCTCTTGTGTTTGGCTTAGCATTGATTAGAGTTGTTTGTGGTATTTACTTGGAATTTGACATTCATCTTTTTCGGCGTATTGAGAGTAAGAGAGATTTCGAATTTCTTGCACGTAACCTGCTGGTATCAAGTAGGAGAGACCTTTTCTTTTCTTTCTTAGCAATGCACCTCTCATGATTATACAAATATGGGTATCTCAATTATCAATATACAAGCCCAAAACTACCAACCCCAACCCTCTAATCTTCAAAACACCAACACCAACAGCAGTACAAAATAAACACAATCCAAATCCAACCCAACCCAACCATAAAAACAGAGAGATTAACGACCAGCGCTAACCTCCTTCCCACCCACTCATCTCCCCCCACTACCTGACCGCCGATAACAGCAGCAAATCCCCTTACTCTCGCACCAGGTTCTCACAAACCCGGCCCCCACTTCACGGTCTTCATTGACAAGACCCAGTCCTTCTGTGTTGAGCCAGGCTGTGAAGTCCTCGAGAATGAGCGGATCGTACATGAGGATCTTCTCGTGCCAGGTGAGACGTCTGTTGTGGCCTAGAATTCTGGTTTGGGCGCGCACTGCGGCTGTGATTTGACTGGACAGTTCTGGGGGGGCTGCTTCTGTCTTGTTGTTTTGGGTGGATGAGACCGTGTGGGCTTTTGATGGACTGGTTGGGAGGGGTGAGATGGGTAGGGATTGTTGTTGCTTGTTTTCGGTGGCGTTGGTGGTATACTGGTTTTGTAAACGGTGAGGAGAAGGGATGACTTCGTCTTCGGAGTCTTCAATTTCTTCTACGTCGATGAATGATCGCCTTGGTGGTACTGGCTCTGGGGTTGTTGCGCGCATGTTGAGTGGCTGGCTATTATCCTTCGGGTCTGATGCTTGAGACTGGGCATTGGTTGTAGCTGGTTTGGCCGAAGTACGCGGTTGAGTCTTCGCCTTGGTTGTGGCGCTCGTCTTTTTGGTCGTATTAGTCTTCCGCTGTCGTTTTTTGGGCGCCTGTTGCTGGGACGAGGAGCTTTGTGAAGCTGGAGGATTCGGCTGTTTATCTTCGGCATTGGAGCGAGGGCCTCGCTTGGATTCCCAGCATTTCTGGAGCAGCTCTAGCATTTTCTTGCGGCTTTTGAGTGGCTTGAAGCCGTAAGTGGTGATTTGCTTTGAGAGTTCAGCATCCGTAAAAGCGTTGAATTGCGGCATTGGAAGGTTTGGTTCGGGAGGTTGGGGTGTCTGTTGTGGTTTGTCTTGCGAGAACTGCGGTTCTTGGAACGGCATAGTTGTTGACGCAGGAGAAGAAGTAACCTTTGTGGCTTGGACCTGTCTGGCAGTCTCTAAATCGATGACAGCGTGCTGTTTGCTGTTGTCGTTTGTATGTTCGTCGCTGTTCTTCTCGGGACATTTATCCTCGTTACTCTCTCTCTCGATCTTCGAAATAGCAGGCATATCCACCATATCCAAAACTTCTGCTTGGACAAGTGATCCTTCACTGTCCCTAGCTGCGATAGACCACAGGCTTTTTGTGTTGTTGAATCGAGTCATCCTATTGAACAACGAACCAGGCCTCGACTCTTGTGAGAGATCTGTAGCCATACTCCTCTCCGACTCGTGAATTGCAGCCTGCATCTCCCGTAGCGTTTGTGGCGACTCTTCCCTCTCCAACTGACTACAGGTACCAAAGACAAGGTCCTGGTCCTCGATAGTCTTAGCAGCCGCCTCCGGCGACAGAACAATAAATTGAGGTTCCTGAGGTTGCGAATTCGCTTTCCCCTTTCGTTTAGACTTGGCTCTATTCTGTTTCGTTGCCACTGCGCCCTCCCCGGAATCCAGTGTTGCTTGGGATGCGGAGTCGGTAGATTCAGTAACGCTGTCAGTAACACTGTTATTATAAAGAGCTGTGACACGGCCTGTGAGCGTAGTTATCTTCTTGGGTCTCGTTTTGCGTTTCCTTTCGGGTTTCTGCGTCTTCGAAGGTTGTGTTTCACTTTCGGTAGGTGTATTATCACTAGTAGTGTTCGATGCGTGAAGGGCCGTAAGATGGCATCTTGAATCCACAAGCTGCCCGAGAATTAGCATAAACGGAAAATCGCAAGGAAAATGCACATACCTCTATCCGGCGCCGCTTGGTCGGTCCGGCCTCTTCAGCCACGTTAGGGGTATCCCTGGATGTATCCGAGACCCCATTGAACCCATAGCCAGAGAGTAGGCCTCCAAAGCCAGAATTTTTGGCCGAATGGGACACCTCTTCTAACTCAACAACGGTTTCGCTAGCGCTCTTTGTCGTATTCTTGACCGGAGTCCAGTCTAACCGCCGTTTCATAGCTGGTTCCAGCTGCAGTCCATCATTTTGCCAATCGTCTGTTCCCTCGACGACTCTCTGCTCCGATGAGGATTTTGGAGTCGATGGACAACAGTCCGCCTTCGACGGTTCTATCGTAGTCACAGTACCAGACTTCGCGATTCTTCCAGTAAGGGTCTTATTTGCCGATTTGGTTTGCTTTTTAGAGCCCACGGATCGCTTCTTCTTCGTGCTAGTGTTCGCTTCCGACGTTTTCACATTGATCTCGGCAACAGATGACTCCACCTCAGCAGGCGCATCCGGTTCGTCGCGGGTGACTTTCGGTTTCCTTCCCCTCCGCTTTTCCCCTACCCCCTGTGGCTTCGATTTTGTTTTCCGTCCAGATTCATTCGCTTTCCCGGCGTTCGCTGTTTCTCGAGAAGTTTCGTTTGCGTCGGGTTGCGCGCCATCCGCCTGGTTTTTGGTGCTGAAAGATCTAGACTGCAATTCGACTCGGAATAGTTCCGATGGCGACTGTACGGAAGGCGAGGAATACTCTCGGGGAGAGAGCCCGAATAAGCGCTCGGGATCATAAGCTGGAGGCCCGCTTGGTGTGCGACAGGGCATGCGTTCTGGAGAAGAGGAGACAACGATAACGTCGGTGGCGGCGCTCATGTTGGCGGGTCACGATCGATCATGATGTGATTCGACGATCGGCCACCGATAGCACTGGTCGTGTAAAGCGAAAGAGACTCGTATATCGTATGCTGTGATTATTCAGTTGGCGGGAGACCCATTCGTGGGCTTCCGGACTGTTTTGTGGTGATGCAATGCAAGACTTGGACGAAGGAACAAAGGGTCGAGATCGTAGGTTTCGATGTCTTGGCAAAGTTGCGGTATTGCCGGATTGGGAAGCTGACAGTAGTGGGCAGGGCAACGGTTGGCATTTATCTATATTTACGGATTGGGATAATAACTTTAACTATTTTCAAGGTATTTTAGCTAGCCACTTTGTGTATGTTCGGTGATAGGCTTTCTCTGCTATATGTATCTAATAAATTCGTTATGGGCTGTCCGTGAAGAGACGCATCTCCAAAGACCGAGCGGCGCATCTGGATGTCTTTCCCTCTCTTCCCTATCAATATACATTATCCATATCTAGGTTGCGTCATGTTCCAGCAGCAACTCATCTAACGTCATATTATGTACCAGCAAGCCTGCGATCAGCTTTAGCCCGTCATCCCCCGTGGCCAACTTTTCCGGACGCAGGGTAGGGACACCCATCGAGGAAGTGTAGCCAAGGTAGACCCAACGAGTTCATGGGGTGGCTCTCTTTCGGATAGCCATGGACGGGTTGTGCGGTACACAGCAAAGCTCCAAGGCAAGGAATTCGGCTTCGAGTACGGCCGATGTTCACGTCGCACCACGCAATGTGATCGCTCCGATTACTGAAAGCTCGAGCTGCTTCATTTCATCGTGAACGACACCAGCCGCCTTCTTGGGGTTTGAAGAGCCCAATGCTCCTAACTTATAGACCTTCTTGATTTTCGAAACGTCCGAGATTCCAGAGAGCGTTTCGTCGTCGAACGGCGCGGGGGTACCCTCGATCGATTGATTCAGGTGTGTTGCGACGGAATCGTGGGTAATTTCGGGGGTTGTGGAGACCTTCACCACCAGCAAGTCTGTCGTCGTGTCTGCGATACCGAACTTCCGGAATGAATCGGCGATCTGAAAATGTCAGAAAAGTATGACCATATTCGAGGAGAGAAGTGTCTAGCGCACATTGTTCGTAGGACTGAAGGAGAACACAATCTCCGAATGAATATTGCGCGACTTGAGACGGCCGTTCAGGTAGTCATTGGCTGCGCGGAAGACTGCCGTGAGAAGGTGTGTCCTTGACAGAACCTATCCCCTTGTAAGAAACATTGTACGTATATTTGAACCGCTCTATTCTCTTACCATGCTCGCATCGATAAGGGCATATTCAAAGTCGGCATTCCCCGAGATGAGCTGTTGGCGCAAAAAGGGCGCATTCTTGACGTCGCGGTAGAGAGCCACATGCACGGGCATTGACGAGGGAAGGTGAGGAATGTGGATAGTCTCAAGAGCGGACATCGTGAAAGAAGTGATCTGTTGTATGGAATTCTCCAGACAAGATCGGGTTCTCAATTGAATGCTGATTCCCCTCCTCCCCCCCACTAGAGATCAGTCTAACCGGATACGGATTATGAGTAATTTGTGAGTCAGTTATGCAAATTGCGCTTCTCGAAAGTTCGGCCGGCCGTAGACGGAAAGCCGGAGACCGATGACTAATGACTGATATCATCATCATTTCTGGCTCGGCTTTGAATATAATCCTCGGTTTGTCCGACATCTCTCACCAACCCATCTCATCCACCTCTCCCCATCGTCCAGCAATCATGGCGTTCTTCATGCGACGCCCGTTTGCTCTTCCGACGGCTCTCCGTCAGGTCCCCAAGACTGTCAACAACACCACTCGATTTATCCACAACTCGCCTTTGAAGCCTAGCCAGCCCAAGCCCATTGCTGGACCCTCCTCCGTCTTCGCAAAGTCCAGACAAACCTTCCAGAATGCCTTCCGTCGCACGTACATGCAGCCGACCTACAACGCCTCGAGTGGCAACCTCTCCCAGCGACTTTTGTACGGCGCGGCCATCGTGGGTGGCACGGTGTTGGTAACCAACTTGATCTTCAACCGTGAGACCCGCGAGGATGGCGGCATGCCCGCCTACGAACGGAGCTTCCTGAACGAGACTTTCATGCACACTGGACTTGGTATTGGTATTATTGGTATTGCTGCTCGCGCTTTGCACATGAACGGATGGTCATTCCGTCTGATGTCCGCTAGCCCTTGGGCTGTCATGGGTCTCGGTCTGGTGGCGAGCATCGGCACGATGTACGGTACTCTCTACACTTCGCCGGACAAGTAAGTGACTCACACTCTATCCCAACATCAAGGAGTTTGACTGACGTCTCTGGAAATTAGCTATGTGGTCAAATACGGTCTTTGGTCTGCGTTCAACCTCACCCAGGCTGCGCTGCTCTCGCCCCTGATGTTCATGCACCCCGCCCTGCTCGCTCGTGCCGGTCTCTACACTGTCGGCATGATGGGCTCTATCGCTTTCGTCGGCGCCACCGCTAAGCAGGAGAAGTACCTGTACCTGGGTGGCCCTCTCCTCGCCGGTGTGACCATCGTCGCGCTCTCCGGTTTCGCCCCTCTGGTCCTCCCCGCCACTGCGACCCGCACCCTGATGTGGTCCGAGAAGATCTGGCTGTACGGCGGTCTCGCCGTCTTCGGCGGCTTCACCCTCTACGACATCCAGAAGATCCTGCACCACGCTCGCCTCGCCGAGAGGGGTCTCGTCCGCCGCGATGTCGTCAACGAGAGCATCAGCCTCGAGCTGGACTTCCTCAACATCTTCATCCGCATGGTCCAGATCCTCAGCATGCAACGCTCCAACCGGAAATAAGCGACTTTCCTCCATTAGGTTGAGTCAACCTTTTTGGTTAGACTTAGTAACATTGCTTGTTTAATATCGTTAGCACGGTGACTTCCGTCTCACCTCTCAACCAGACCTTCACGGCCTCTGCCTGAGCTGAGCCGTCTCTGGGAAGAAAGTGGATGCCCATTTGTGGTCGCATTTTTGTTCACTCACTGCTCACTCATTGACTGCTTAATCTCCATTTTGTACAATACTATGTCGTGTGGATTTTTTTTTGATCATTTTTTTATGCGTGAACTACCTCCCAAGGCGATTCTGCGTCCGTTCCTGACGTCCATCAAGGAGCCGATGATCATGTAAGGGATCTCTAAGAGAACTTAGACCGTTGAGATAGATGACTAGTGGACTGGAACAACATCTCCACTCAAATACGATAAATAAATCAAGATTCAGTATCTTCAGTTACATTTGTAGGAAAGGAATTACTTGACAATCAATTAGTATGGTGACTACACAAACCAATTCAATCTAAACAGCGAGGATCCTTCCACGCCAGACGAATAAAAAAAAAAAAAAAAAAAGAGCAGTGGTGTATTGAATAAAAAAAAGATATATTTAGTAACTTACCCCTCCCAACCGGTGTTTCCCCAGCAGGGAAGGGGATCAAGAAGTAGAAATTCATAAAGGGTTCTTTCTGTACATTATAATTATTTTCGCACTCGTCGGGCGTGACTGACCAGATTCTCAATCACGCCCTCAAAGGCTTCCTTCTCGCTGACGAGACCGTCTCGTCGTTTGAGCCAATACTCGAGGACGGAGCTGGCGCGCAGCGTCACCTGTTCGACGTCTTTGACGTGGCCCTTCAGTTCCGGGTCTGTCATTCCGTCGAGGGCGGCGTCTGTCGTGGCGCAGAGCCGGTGGACGGAGGGGAGGTCGAGTTCGGGGGGAGGAGACGGTTCTCGTCGGCGGGATGTGCGGTAGCGCGATGTGGTGGACGGGCTGTCGGGTTGGGAGGCGCGGGCGCGGCTTCCTGAGCGTGAGTGGTTGCCCGACAGTCGCGGTTCGAGGCCTGTGTTGATTGAGGGGAGGACCAGCTTCTTTTGTTTCGAGGCTGGTAGGATCTCGTCTAGGTCGACGGGGACCCCGAGTGAGACGAGGAAGAGTCGGCGGATCCGCGATTTCACCCAGTTTTGAGGCTGCAGTGGGGGAGGTGCCACCAGCTGCGACCATAGGGACAGGGAGCGCTCGGTGTTGAAGATGGCGGAGGAGTTTTGGATTGGTTCTACTGGGGGAAGGGATGCGATTTCTTTTGTGGTGGGGAATAGGTGGTCTAGGGGTTCGTCCAGAGCGGCGTATAGGTCGGGGAGGGATTGGAATGAGTCGAAATCTATTAATGGTGGCTGTGGCGGGCGCCCTGTCAGCATATGCGGGTTTGACTAGTTGCAATCCAACGCAGTACGTTCTGGAAGTTGGGGATACTCACAACGGAGGGCGGAGTGGGGGGCTGAGAAGGGACCGGCTCTGGCTCCTGGAAGCCGTCATCAAAGTCATCAAAGTCCCCAAAGTCATCTTCGCCCATCTCCTGTTCTTCGGCGAAGTCATCAAATTCGTCTGCGGGCTCGGCATCCGCTGTCTCATTGTCGCCTTCTGGTGAAGATTCAGACTCATCATGGTCTTTAGGAACGAGCTGTGGTGAGGACGGGTCTGGATCCGTTAATTCCCGTAACCATTGCCGCCGCCGCACAAGGGTATAACCTACCTGGTGCATCTGGGACCGTCTTCGTCACATCTGGCAGTGCATCGCTTGGCTTTCTTTGATGAGCCCGCGGGTGAGGTGACTCGTCCTGCTCTGGAGAGGAATCTACCCTCGAGAGCACCGTCTCAGGGACCTCCACATCGGCCGCATTGGACTCCGGGCTGAGTGACGGTGAGGGGCCAGGCGTAGTCATCACCACGTCAGGGACCGCGTCCGCTTTGCGCTGTTCATAAGCCAAGGTCCCAGGGACGTCCCCGTGGCTCGGCTCATCCGGATTGACTACTTCCACCACTGTCCGGGGGATGGAGGGCTCCCCGGCATCTGACGGACGGCGGGACGGCCCCGCAGTCGAAGCACTTCGGCTACGAGACCCTTCGGGGATGACCTCGATTTGATCAGGGACCGCATCCCGCTCCCTTATTTCGTATGCGGACGTCCCCGGGACTTCGCCATATGCCGGATTCTCGTCGACTCTTTCCACCCGAGTCAGCGGGACAGGGGATGCACGATCGGACAGCGGTTGTGAATCGGATCGTTCGCGGCCCTCGCTAGCGTCTGAGAAGTGGTCTTCGTCACTATTTATCACTAGAGAGAAAAGAAGACTTAGTAGCTGGTCCCAATTGACATCTCCGGTGCCCCGTAGGCATGTCTGCTGTCGGCCGTGCTGGAAGGTGTACCTGAGTCCTGAGTCCCGGGATCCTCCAACTCCACGCCTTTCGGGGGAACCTCCAAGTGTGGACTGGATGGACGGGACGGCCGTTCCGACATGAGGAAGGAATAAGTTTAAGCGAACAAAGAAATCATGTAGACAGCCCGAGCAACAAATAACCGCGGGCCAACAGGGGCAAATTGAAGATAGGACGGGATGATGGGGAGAACAAGCATGAAACGGTCACTTGATCTGGTGTCCGGTTCGATGCGAGTCTCGAACCCGTTGCCTGAGGCAGAGCACACCGTGTACACTCAGGCCCCCTGCTGCTGCCTGAGGCTGTCAGCACTAGCCGCCATCCGCGCCAAGCGCCGTCCATCAATTGTTGTTCTTCCTGCTCTTCTTCAGCTACCGATAATCATTTGTTCTTGGGTGGAAGATCGCGCGCAATCCTCTTTTCGTCCTTGAATTGCCTGTTCAGTCTTCTCCGGGGCATCGCATCTCTGGGCGCAGTGAGTATTCTCCAATTCCAACTCCCTGCATAGATTTTTCTTCCAATCCTTTCTCGACTCACTTTCTGTTGTGCTCTTTTTTTTTAACGGCCTTTAGGGTAGCCCGATCCATTCCACCATTTCGTTCGCTCGCCATTCCACATCATGTCCAATATGTTCTCTTTCGATCCGCCTGCCTCGAGCGGTGCGTCTGGGGCCGGCCTTTTCGGCACTGCCGGTAAAACGAACGCTGGTGCAGGGTCCGGCGCAGGGCTCTTCGGAAATGTAGGAGCTTCGACAGGCGGAAGCTCCGCACCTTCGCCGTTTGGAAATGCTGCGGCTCCAGCACAACAGGGCGCTGGGCTTTTTGGCGGTGCCGGTGGTGGTGGGAGTGGCACGGCTTCTCCGGCGTCGTCTTTCAGCTTTGGAACACAGAATCAACCCGGGAGCAGCACTCCGACGTCGCTGTTTGGAAACAATGCATCGCAAACCCCCAACAAGCCGAGCGAAGCCCCTGCTGCTGGGCAGGCGTCTTCCGGTACACTCTTTGGCAATGCCGGGAAGCCGGCGGGTGGTCTTTTCGGAGGTAACTCCGCCACGCCCGGTCAGTCTGGACCCTCGCTTTTCGGGGGGACCTCCACCACACCTGCCGGACCTCCGCCATTGGGCAACACCGGCGGTGCTCAGGGACCGTCGCTCTTCGGACAGAACGCGAACGCACAGAAACCGGGTGGCCTCTTTGGAGGTCTGGGCGCGAACACATCCTCATCGACTACCCCCTCTGCCCCCGCTACCACGTCGTCAACCGCCCCATCGCTGTTTGGAGGAGCGTCGCAGCCTCAAGCGGCCAGCGGTGGTCTCTTCGGAGCTGGCGCACAGCAGAAGCCATCGCTTGGCTCGACCCCAGCAGCCCCCGCCGGCGGTGGTCTCTTTGGAGGAGCCAATAAGGACAAGCCCGCGGAATCAACGACCCCGACGTCGTCTGCGGCCCCTGCGTCGAAGCCTTTGTTCGGAGGTGCGGGTGCTGCGCCATCAACGCAGGGATCCTCTTTGTTCCCCGCGCCGTCCTCTGGCACGGACTCCGCCAGTAAGCCCGCATTCTCCTTGAATGCCCCGGCGTCGACCGCTCAGTCCTCGACGACCCCGGCCGCGTCTTCCGCTACTGCCGGAAAATCTCTCTTCCCGGCGATGGGCGGGTCTACCTCGTCAGCCGCGCCGTCGTCCACCCCCGCCGCCGCTCCTGCGGGAGGCCTCTTTGCTGGTCTCGGCGGCGCCAAGTCCACTGAGACTAGCGCACCCGGCAGCACGACCACCGCGGCACCTGCCACCCAGCCTGCAGCCCCCACCGGCGGGCTGTTCGGCAAACCAGCCGCCAGCACCGCAACCAGCCAGCCCTCCGGCACCGGCGCGGCGGGATCCACCGCCGCTAAACCTGCAGGGACGGAGGAGAAGGCCACCCCCGCGGCTCCGTTCGGCGGCAACGGCCTGGGTGCGTCCACCGCCGGGCCGGTACCCCCGACTCAATCGCGGTTGAAGAACAAGACGATGGATGAGATCATCACGCGGTGGGCCACGGACCTGACCAAGTACCAGAAGGACTTCCGCGAGCAGGCGGAGAAGGTCGCCGAGTGGGACCGCATGCTGGTGGACAACGGCACCAAGGTGCAGAAGCTGTACGGCAGCACGGTGGACGCCGAGCGGGCGACGCAAGAGGTCGAACGGCAGCTGGCGTCGGTCGAGGGACAGCAGGACGAGCTCAGCTCGTGGCTGGATCGGTATGAGCGGGAGGTGGACGAGATGATGTCGAAGCAGGTTGGTCCTGGGGAGACGCTTCAGGGACCGGACCAGGAGCGGGAGAGAACGTATGTTTCTTCTTTTCTTCCCCTCCAAAGTATGATGTATGGGTAAAACTAACAGGACACAGCTACAAACTGGCCGAGAAACTCTCCGAGCGCCTGGACGACGTGGGCAAGGATCTCACAAGCATGATCGAAGAAGTCAACGGGGCGTCATCCACGCTTAGCAAGACGAACAAGGCCGACGAGCCGGTCCGTTCCCTCTTTCCTCCTCTCTTCCCTCCTTGATGATCACACAACTAACAACAAATGCTAAAATAGATCTCCCAAATCGTCCGCATCCTCAACTCGCACCTCTCCCAACTACAAGTCATCGACCAAGGCACCGCCGACCTGCAAACCAAGGTCGCCGCGGCGCAAAAAGCCGGACAGGCGATGTCGTCGCGGTTCGGGCACGGCTTCAGCAGCTCGGGTATGGGCAGCGGCAGCGGGATGGGCATGGGCGGCGGCAGTGGCAGCGGTGCGGCGGATGACTTTTATCGGTCTTATATGGGTCGTCGGTAGGTTGGTAGGTAGTCAACGGCGTTTCTACAGATAAAGATAATAATGGCGATTGATTGCTGTTTGGATGTCGGATGTAACGATGGGCTGGTTTCTTATTATGTTCCTTTTGAGTTTTATGCTAGTGGTGTTTGTTATGCAATGGATTTGATACGATTTTTCTCTTTTTTCCTATCCCCTTTTCCTATCCTCCTTTCCTCCTCAATCTATTCCATCCTTGATAGTCAAAGATAAAAAAAATCATAGTATGTATGTAGTAATTCATTTCATCAAGTCAAGACTAAAGAGAGGGAGATATTCATAAAATACATCAACCTAGAAAAGGCAGGTGTCATCGACCGAATTATTTCTTCTCATTTTGCTCCTTGGTCATGGTGTCACTGTTGATAGTTAGTATTATCCCTCAATCCTTCTTCATTTATTACTCTTTCAGTAGGAAAGGAAAGGTGAAAAAGGGCGATAACATACATATGCTCATCCAACTTATCAAGGTGCTTGCGCTGCTCGGAGACGGATTCCTTCAGTTTGCGGAGTCTATCGAATAGAGTGAGTCAGTTGGTCATGTACTATGAATTATGCACTGCATAATGCAACACTGCAATATCTCCTAGGGGCATATGTATGAAGGACAAGGTAAATGGATAATGAATCACGTACTTCTCAAGCTCATGCTGACGGATATAAACAGCTTCCTCGGCAGCTTCACGGCGACCGAAGGTGTCCCTATTATGATGTCACACGTTAGTCAATTGTTCCCATCTATCAATGAATCGACATATTTCTCGAAAGAAGTAGGGATGAACATGAGAGAGGACGCACCGGTTGGCAGTAGGCGCAGGACCGCTAGTATCGCCCGCGCCCATCTTGGGAGCGACGGCAGAGAAGGACCGGCTGGAGAGACGGAGGGAGCGGCTGGCGGTAGACAGAGGGCGAGAGACCTGACGCAACATTGTTCCAGTTGATTAGGAAAAGTGATGAATTGGAGATAGGTAGGGTGGTGGTGGTTGATAGGATGTTTTGTTGGTGGGAAGAAAGGTAGATGGATTGCAAGAGGGGTTGGAGAAAGCAGGTAGGTACCAGAGCGTATTAATAGTATGGGAGAGTACTTTGCTCGATGCTAGCACATTCTACTGGTTACCTTGTTACCTTGGTAGCATTACTACTACTCCCACTGTGGCTCACTCTATGATCGAGACCGTATGACGACATCATGTGATGTCAGACTGGGATGATGACTCATCTATGCTGGTCAGGTGATTGTCCGTGGTGTAAATTACCGTGTAAACAATACCTTCAATACCGACAGTACACTACAGGAAAAAGGATTGGTACGTCTATCTCTAGTGCTGGTGATCAGACAAATCATCTCTATGGAGTTGAAAAGGAGATCTCGATATATCCTCGACGGGCTTGGAGATCGGAATGACAACCGTGGAACCGCCATCCTTCCGGTCCCGTCTTCGGAAGATTCGTCATTGATTTCCATCCGGTTGGATGAAAGAAGGATTGAGGGGAAGGAGAAGAAAAGAGCTCTACTCTGTAGATCCCACGAGGAAATGAAGTGGATAATGTATATCTCCATCCTGAATCTAGTGAAAAGGATGGACAAGACCCTTCTGGATAATGAAAGGTGGGATCTCCAAGGGAGAGGGACGATTGGTGGAGGGCGAAATAGGGATGACGATGGGTGGCCCACCGAACCACACAAACAGCCAGCTCAAATTGGGAGGGGGTGGTCACTGGTAAGGAGGATGAATGAGGGAAATGGATATTCTCAGGGGTCTAAACCAGTCTAGTCAGCAGGTCGGGGGTGGGGGATTCTTATGGAATTATTGATATTATCATCCTGTCTACGGACAGATGGTTTATTATTCGGAGATCCTGAAGGGATACTGGGGGTGTAGGGAGGAATGATGGCGTGGTTAACCCTAGGGATTTCATTATCGAGACCAGTTGGCGGAGTATTGTGAGGAGTAGAGACAGATAGGTATCTGTAAAGAAAGAACGTTACCGACAAGTGTTCTAAGGGAGTGTATTGTGTAATCCTGTATTGGACGGTACGGGCTCCCCCTCCTCTTTCTTCGAGACCGACTAAATCTACCAAGTCAACTACTAAACTACACCTCTCCAGTCCATCTTTCTTCTTCTCTCCTTCTTCTTCTTCTTCTTCTACTTCTCTTCTTTTTCTTCTCTTCCTCTCTTCCTCCTCCCTCCAGTTAAATTCCCATCTTCACCTCCACATCTCTTTCTCCATTCAACCTCCTTTTCCAAACCCAACCATCCCCCCTCAATCCAACCGTCTCCTCCCGGTAAGTCACTGACAACCCCCCCGTTTTCTCTTCCTTTCCACCCTGTTCCCCTCTTCCTCCTTCTGGCTGTTCTTCTCTCTTCCCCTCCAATCACCTCACTGGCTTGACCCCTACCCTTTCAACCCTCTTCTTCCTCCCTTTTTCCCCTCCCGCAAAAAAAAAAAATCATCTACAATCTGTCGGGCTCTCCTTGACTTCACCAACACATAAAAATAATCAAAGAAGATTGGTATGGATGGAATTGTCGGGTGTTGTCGTCTGCCCTCATGACTGCTCTTGCCCCCCTCTCCCCCCCCCTCCATCATCCGCGCGGCACAGGTCACCACTACTCCCCTCGAGAAAACGTCGGTGCGAATTGCCTACAATCCATCCGTGGTCTCGGAATGGCGCCGGTGACGCGGGTGGATTGGCAAGGAGATCCTCGTCGATTCTCGAGGTCCATTCGTTTGGTGTGGTCGGGCTGCGGTCGAGATAAGGAGGGCGAATCGAGGATACGCTGCGTGTCCCGTGAACCCTCTCCCTCTCCCTCTCCCTCACAGCCTCACTCGCTACCCTGTGACTGATCGCGTTCCTTCACACTTCTTTTTTCTTCTCTCTCCACTGTCGAAGCCGACTTTTGACCTGAATTCATTTTTATCCCCCCCATCTGATCTTGATCTCTCCCTTTTTCTCTCAACCACAACCTGTCCAGTCACGTACACGTCGGTCGGATCGTCGGAATTGTCACTAACATCATCCCCGTCAACTACAGACTTCACTTTCACAATGGGTCACGAAGATGCTGTCTACCTGGCCAAGCTGGCCGAGCAGGCCGAGCGCTACGAAGGTTCGTTTGCACCGTGCGATCTTATCCCAGAATCCGCATTGACCATCATCAGAGATGGTCGAGAACATGAAGGTCGTTGCCGCCGCCGGTGTTGAGCTCACCGTCGAGGAGCGGAATCTCCTCTCCGTCGCCTACAAGAACGTCATCGGTGCTCGTCGCGCGTCCTGGAGAATCGTCACCTCGATCGAGCAAAAAGAGGAGTCCAAGGGCAATGAGTCTCAGGTCTCCCTCATCAAGGAGTACCGCCAAAAGATCGAGGCCGAGCTCGCCAAGATCTGTGATGACATCCTCGAGGTCCTCGACAAGCACCTGATCCCCTCGGCCCAGAGCGGCGAGTCCAAGGTCTTCTACCACAAGATGTACGTTTCCGATCCATTCCCCCGTGACGCACTCGTATGCTGATGTCTGTGTTTTACAGGAAGGGTGACTACCACCGTTATCTGGCCGAGTTCGCCATCGGCGACCGCCGTAAGGGTGCTGCCGATGCCTCCCTCGAGGCCTACAAAGCCGCGACCGAAGTCGCCGCGACCGACCTTGCCCCCACCCACCCCATCCGCCTGGGTCTGGCCCTGAACTTCTCCGTCTTCTACTACGAGATCCTCAACGCTCCCGATCAGGCTTGCCACCTCGCCAAGCTGGCCTTTGATGATGCCATCGCTGGTATGTTCTTTTTTTCCTGACTCGTGCCTATATAGGGGCTAACCACTTGCAGAGCTCGACACCCTGAGCGAGGAGAGCTACAAGGACTCCACCCTGATCATGCAGCTCCTCAGAGACAACCTGGTAAGAAACCCCCGCTCGTGTCGCGACTGTGACTCCAGAACCGCGTTAACGCCCTGTAGACCCTCTGGACCTCGTCGGAGGCTGAGCCCGCTGCCGAGTCCAGCGCCCCGGCCGCCGAGAAGAAGGAGGAGGCCCCGGCTGCTGAGGCCGACAAGCCCGCTGCCGAGTAAAGAAAAGATGACGGCGTCGCGCCTCATCGCAGGTGATGGGAGGGAGACCCCGATCGCGAGTGGGCCTGTGTCTGGGGAGGAGGGACGAGACCCGTGGGCTTGTCTCGTCACCGCGGTGTCTTGACGGAAGTTCGTGCCAGTCCCGTTCATCTCTTTCCGACTCAACTTCAGCTCCCGTGAACGGCCATCGAGTCATCCCCCTTTTTCCTGCGGTCATCTTCTTTCTCGCCTGCGTTTCTTTTTCCTTTTCCTTTTCCTTTTTTTATCTCCATTTTGCCTATTGCCTCAACTACCCAAAGAGTACCTTTCCCTTATTAAACAGACTCACACATTCACCCCAGTGAAATTATCTAAACCTAAAGACCCGGGCGATTTTCTTGTCACGGATATTGACTTGGTTTTTTTTCCTCTTAATGGCCGGTGCCACGCACGGCGTTTGTTGCCCTTACCCATGAAGCTCCTTTTTAGATCTACAGTCCGGCAACAGTGGCGATCAACAAGTTCAAAATATTGGATCTGCTTAGAGTAGTTGAACTCGTAGTAGCCGTGTAACATCCAGATCCACTCAGCTCAGCCCCGTCCACCCCAGCCTCCATCCATCCATGAAGAGATCCCTGCCACCCGACCTGAGACATGACGTATGCGGCGGCGCGTCGCGACGATCCCTCTTTCTTTTCTCCGCCTTGACAATTTATATTATTCTTATTATCATTACTGACTGAGTGATGTCATGAAATTTTTTTTTTTTAATTTTGTCTGGTCTTTGTGTTTGTATTGTGATTGTAGATATGATTTGGTGTGTTTGGTGGGTGGTTGGTTTGAGGACACGTGGGTGTTTATCTAGTAGGTATCTTCGTACTATCTATGTAGGTAGTATGGGTGTAGGTGTAGGTGTTTATAGAGTGGCTGAGGGGAAATATGATCGATTACTACTGATACTAATACTAATATTATTGCTGTTATTATGAGTAGTATATTATTATTGTTGTTGTTGTTGTTATTGTTATTATTGTTATTATTATTACCATGATTGCTATTGTCATTATCATTATTTGATTTGGATTGATAAGTAGGTAGTGACTAGATAACTAGATACCAACCGAGTGGAGGTAGGAAGTAGTAACTAAGTATTAGGTGGTAGGTGGTAGTAATAACTAGGCAGTAGAGTAGGAGTAGAATAGCAGTAGTGAGTGAAGAAGAATAGAGAGAAAGAGATGACAGAGACAAATAGTAGGACAGACAGATACTTGTTCACTTCCTTCCTATAATCCTATACCCACCCATACTTGATATGCACACAGTGATACAATAGTCATGATAAAATAGAATATTAAAAGTCAAGATTTGAATCATCTGTCGGTCGATCAGTCAGTCCAGTATAAGTTATGGAGATATCAAGTAGTGAAGGAGTAAGGGTATGAGTTACCCTACTGCTACTTAACTACATAGCTATTGTCTATCCTAGGTGATCACGGATTTTATCCTACTATACAGGTGGAATGGTGCAGCTGATATGTTAAATAAAAATCCTACACGGTACGACAAAGAGTAATAAAGTATGATGATCCTGCATTCGTCTGCTACTTCTCGCATCGGGGTATTCAAAGCAAATGTCTTCAGAGCAAACCAAGATCCGACCTCGACCACCCACAATCAACCCGTTGCAACCAACAAAATGGACCGTCGGACCAGGACGAGTCCCCAATATACATACCATGGATGACACTAGCAATCCATGAGAAAGAAAAGAAAAGAAAAAAAAAATATAAAAGATCAAAAAACCAGATCGGCTGCTCCGGAAAATGCTTTGCCCTCCCTCTTTTTTTGCAGACCATGAAACGAAAACAATCAAAGAAGATTCAAACAAATGCGCCCCCTAGGAAATTGATTGATTTGGCGTAGGGCGGGATGCTGCCGGGAGAGACTTGAGGTTCTCAGCTACCCTCTAGGGCAGATGGATCAATCAAAAAGCGTGGGAAGGAAAAATGGCAAACAAGTCTAATAGGGGAATCCCCATCCGAACGCCACGCGTGCTATGCCACAAATACAAAAGGCCCTCCAGTATGACGGTGGAAAGAGAAGGGGGTGAAGGTAACAGAGAAAGAAAAAAGGGTAAAGGGTGGTAAGGACAAGGAGCGAATAAGGGTATTATCAATATGGACAGTGGAAGCGGGATCGGTTTCCCCAACTCGGTGTCACGTGTCGACGCCGTCACGGTTCTCATCTGCGAGACCGGTCATCACGGTCATGGATGGTTGGTTGTTGGTGGCAGCTGATCACACCGCTAGATGGGCCGATGCCATGATGTCATATCCGCCCATGTCATGTGTCATGTTCAAGCACGATCATGCCTCGTCGAATCGGCGCAGACGGGGCGAGGTTCATCGTACGATACAGAGCGCATCGGGATTGGATCGGTGGTGGGATGTAGCGCGGAGTCGTCCCGTCGCTTCACCTCCGCTTCCGCTGTTCCATGATCTCCGGCGGTACTCGACTTTCCGCCGCTGCGTATGGTTGGCGTGACATGCTGCGGTGTGGCAGATGATCTGGCCACAGGGGAGGATCCCATGGGAGGAACGTCTCCATCCCAAAATAGAAAAGGAGAGAAAGGAAAAGGGGCGAGAAGGAAAGAAAACGAAATCAAGACCGAGCGGTCGAGAGGAGTTCGACGCGGCAACGTGCTTCAGGATCCCGACCGTGCTGACATCCGGCAACGGGACTGGGGGGCGGGGGCGCGTCTACTTCTGCGACTTCTTGACTTTGGTGCTGGGTCTGGTCATGTCGCTCTTGGTCATGTTTCGGGTCAGACCACCGATGTAATCCTGCAAGAACTTGTTTTCACTTTCTAGTTTATCGTGATCGGACTTGACGGCATCGATGCGTTCGGCGAGGGCTTGGAGGGAAGACTGGAGGGCTTTGGCTTGTCTAGGATAGTCAGTATTGTCAGAAACCGAGGGAAAGAAGCAATAAGGGGGCCTACTCTTGCAAGGTCTGTCGCGCCTCCTTGCCCAGTCGCTCCAGATCGGCAGAGTTACGTCGGGGACTCATGGCGCGGGCGTCGTCGGGAGGGAATTCCTCCTCTTCGATTTCAATCTCGGGGTGATCCCGGGGGACTAGTATGGAGGCGCTCGGTTTCCGACTGGCCATGCGAGGACGCTCTGAGCGACCTCTTCGTTCGGTTTCGGCGTCGGAGATGGAAGAAGATGAGGAGATGGATGAGATGTGGGAGCGACCGTTATCGTTGGGTTGGGGTAAGGTTGGAACGGGAGAGGATCCGTGCAAGTCTGACGTCGACGCCATGATGTCTAATGGGTGGTGGCGTTGCGGTAGAATTCAGGCGGACCAGTGGTTCGTTCTGGAGAGTTGGTGCTCTGACAGTCGAAATTGAGTTGGGAGGAACCGTTGCGGGAGTCACCAGCCACGGAGGGTTTTCTTCCCCTTTTTTCGGTATAATCCTGAGGTGATTGTCCTTGCGCTTTTCTTATTCTTTTTTTTTATCTTCTCTATCCAACACGAAGATCAACTGCTGGTGATCTACCTCTAGCGAAGACGTTCAGATGGGAGATCTGTGTTTTCGCTGGAGGTAGCTGGCGGGGATGAAGTAGGGGGGAAAGGCACCCGAAGGGAATGGTGGCCTGAACGGAGATGGTGTCGTCGGCGGGGAGAGGGGGTAAGAACGCGATCCGATAGCGGTCGTACTAGTCGTCCACAGGAAACCAGAGAAGGGTTTCACCGGAAACGAGAGCAGCAGAACAGGTGAAAAAGTAAGAATGGGGTGTGTCAAAAGAGAAGAGCGAGTGTTGTGTTCGGCGGAGTTGAGAAGGCGACCGATCGGGTCCTCGAGACCACGCAATTTCCCAGAGGCGTGTGGGGGGGGGGAGGAGGGGGGAAGGTTGAGTAGTGTAGTGTTCCGACGTGAGTGGAATCCGTCGAGGTGGAAGTTATTTTGAATGATTATTTTTTTTTTTTTTTAACGAGGGGAGAGGATATGGAGAAGGGATCCTATTGTCTTGAAACTGGTTCGGGAAGGGTTCCAGAAAAGCTCCAGGTTGCAGCGGTAAAAATGGGCGTTGTTGAGGAAATCCCGAAAACGGACAGACTAAAACAGGGAGCGGCCAAGCGAAGGGCGAAAAGGATATAATGAAAAAAAAGGAGCCCGGGTAGGGAATCACTAGGTAATTTCAATACCGATCTAAAGGGAAAATTAAAGGGAGAGAGAGGGGGGGAAAGACCGGAAAAAGAAAAAAAAAATAAGGCGGTCGAAGGAAGGAAGAGAGAGAGAAGACGGTTCAGGGAGAGAGAGAGATCGCGTCGGGAGAGGAGTCAGTCAAGTCCAGAGAGGATCAAAGGAAGAAAGAGAGCGAGAGGGAGAGAGAGGGAGAGAGAGAGAGAGAGAGAGAGCGAGAGAGGAGGGGAAGAAGGAGAGGGGAAAGAAGAGAAAGGTGTGTGTGATGACTGGTGGAGAGAAACTAAGGAAATAATAGTTCGTGGTGGACTATCCGTACTGCTCTTTCTTTTATTCTTTTCTTCGATTTTATTTTCTATTTTCTATTTTCTTCCATATGTTCAACCTCCTTATACTATCCCAGATAGTGTTCAGATGCAATGACGCATGATGGATGGAATGGATATCCCAATCCATCATTCGATCGTGAATCAGGAGAAATCCTAGGAACCCTTGCCGTATGGAGTATCAGATACGGTATCAGGAACAAAGAACATGGCGATCTGATCTCAGAGACTCCTACACATAAGTCACCAGTACAAAGTAAAGCATAAAGAAGACAGTCAAGAATGAGAATCAATCATGAGAATAATAATGAAAATCAAATCAATATCAATCAAAGTGTGGCTCCAAACTCGTGGCCGCCACCGCGGAGGGTTCAACACCTCCCATCTATCTCTGGTATGAGATATGGTATTCTATATGGTATCAGTCCGTATTCTCTATTCCACGCACGTATCCGTCAAACTTCGGTGTGTTGGGAATTGTGGGGATCCTTTACCCTTTTCTTCCCTTTTCTTTTCCCTTTTTTTTCTCTTTTTTTTTTCCTTTCTTCCCTTTCTTTCAAGCTTCTTTCTTCCATCTGTCTCCAGTTTAGTCTCGCTCTCTTAAACCTTTTTATTGGTGGAGGTCTCCTCAAGGACGCTTAGTCCCTCTCCTTCTCCCTCCCTCTCCCTCTCGGGCGGCATTACCACCAACCACCAGCCGAGGATGTGGGAAATTGGCGATGATCCTCATCATACCGCTAGTATATCCATAGAATCTCTCTCTATAATATCATTATTATCATTATCATTATATTATTATCATTATATTATCATGATAATCTAGCATGGATCAGGGATCCTCGGTACGCTGCGCTGACGGAAGGGACGAGGATGCTCTGCCGCCACCGCGGCAAATCCTCATCGGCATCTATCTATTCTCTCAGATGAGGGTCTCAGTTCCCATTCTTGTATCGTTATCATCTTGACAGTATCAGTATAGGCATATAACACATGTATAAAGTAGAAGGTATCAGATAAGATATAAGAGATGAGATAGTAGGGTACAAGGTATAGGATGAGGATACTAACATCTAACCCTCAGCATGATCCGTTCCCGTGGGTTGGCGTCTTAGCGACATACAATAACCAAACAATCAATAAATCACATTACCAACAATAATGTATAAAAATAAAACCAAAGAGGCAAAAGATGAACAATGCCGATCTCCTGGGTCCCCCCCCCAATACCAATCATCTCTCATAGCCCCGTCAACTGGAGTCCCCGACTAACCACGTCGGTCTGATCCTCCGGTCTGATGACATGGAAAAGGCATGGGAAAGAGCATGAGGACAGGACAGAAAAAAATAAAAAATAAAAATAAAAAATAAAAAATAACGGTGATCTTCCCTTCTTTTTCCCTTTCCTATGGTTGATGATATTCTGCGGTGGCGTCGTCTCCATCGGCATCCACGTCTGCAGGCGCCTTCTCCTCTCTCCTCCTTTTTCGTCATCTCTCCGGTGACACTGCGGCTGCAATATCCGGTCTGGTTTTTTCTAAATATTTATCCTTTGTGGAATGTATAAATAAGGGACTGGGTTCGAAAGGGAAGAACACATGGGATCCAACCATGGAACGCGGGAGAGAAGAAGAATTTTCCCCTCAAAAGGGTTCTTCATACGGCTTGATTTGCCGGTTTGATCCACTGTCTCGTTCTTACTTGGGGGGAGGATCGACATCAACGGGATCCATCCATAAATTAATCAATCAAAATTCCAATCAATAGACGAGAGAAAATAGAATAGAATGAAATAAATCGAATATCTATAAGAAAAGAAGGAAAAAAATCATACATGGGCATCACGTCATGGGTTATGATATCTGATCTGTCCGTCTCTTGAATGGATGGAAGAGAACAGCAGGTGGTACAGATGATCCTACATAATACTAACTAATCAGTAATAACTAAGGGAACCCCCGGAGATTTGATCGTTGTGCGACCAAGCGGCTCCGAATCAGCTTACTTTTTTTTTCTTTTTTCTTCCTCTTTTTTTTTTAGATGTCAATCATAATAATGATAAGAAAATAAAATCAGAATAATATAATATACATACTATTGCATCGGAATCGGGGTTCCCTCGCATTGGAGAGGATGGAGAGTCTGACGAATGACATCATGTCTCCAATCCCCATCCCGTCCGTCCTCTGCCTTAGTCCATTCGAGTCTCTCAACCTTCATTCGTGAATAAACTAAAGGAATCCCTCCGTACCCAACAACCAACTGATAATTTATTAAATCTACACCGCATACCGGACAAGTCCTGATTGAGCCCCATTCCGGACCCTCGCTAGCTTCGTTTCAACAGATCATCCCCACCGTGTCTAAACGCCGGATTGGAACCTCTCCGTGTTACTACTACGCAGTAAGTACTAAGTACTAAGTACCAAAGAGTCAGTAGGTAAGTAATAAGTACTACTTAGGACATTCAAACTGTAGTTGTAAACTCGGTCTCAACCCACGCAAGGCGCAGGCGCAGGCGCATGCCAGACAGCGTGTTGAAACGCCGGGAGGACTTCCGCGGCTGGGGATCGTCACCGCATTTTGCAGTGTCCACCAAATATGCTTTTATCTGTCGAGTATGTGGATCGAGAATGTAGTGTAGGATTTATCCACATCCTGGCGTTTACTTGATAAAGTATGTACTTGTTCGCACGTAAAATGTACTACCCTGATGCCGGAACATGCGACTCTCTTGAACACGGAATGAATGAATCGAATGAATGGATGAATGAATGGATCAGGGTGTACATAGATGACGGATGACCTGCACGCGCCAACACATTGTATGTCTCTGTATCCAGTTAGTACATAGATAGCCCATGAGCAGACAGTCTACAAGGCTACAAGTCAAACAAACCAGTAAAATCTGTTCCTCTCCCCCGGGCATCGCATCTCTTTGAATCCTGTGGTTGAGGTAAGCGTGCTTGTGCTTGTGACCTGGCCGAGTGCTGTCACTCCGACTGTTGGTCCAACTGGCGATACACACAAGTCTATGATGGTGGCTGGTGTTGGGTAGGAATGTAGCCTGGTCTGGTGTCTATAAGGTAGTAAGGAGTATATAGTTGATGGTGTCAGTGAGAATGAGAATGCATTGTCTGATTCTTGGAGTGTCGGTGTATTTCTGTAAGGAGTTGTATTGGATAGATCGCATTACGGGGGCGCATGATCAAACGTAGCATATCAAACAACTGGCAGGACTGTTAGAGAGTGTTTGTCCGTTATATATCAACTTGACTGGGTTAGGAGAGGAGGGAGAATTATATCCTGGGGCAGTGAGCAGGGGATGTGATTAATACTGTTGTCAACATGGCATAGCTTTCATGTAACTACTGTAGTAGCAGATTAGTTTCTACGTCAGTCTAAACATGGATGAGGAACTATCCATGAACAAACTACCTAGTCCAAACAACTATTCGATCATGACCATGATTTCCAGTAATCGCTCCAAAGAATAGACCTCCGATCAATGACATATATGGAGTAGTAATGTAGTAGATCAAATCCACAACCCCACAATGGATATACTTCAACCCAGAATAGTGTACCCATAATACAACCTCCAAACAACCTACATCCCACTCCTTCAATTCCTCGAAGTAAGTAACAAGACCGTCAATGAGAAATCATATACATTAAATCAAGAAGGAGAGAAGTAAAACATTAACCTTGCATCGGAACCCCCACCCTCACATCCGAAAAACAATGTCCCCCCAAAATTCAATTCCCCACTGTAAAACCGCTGATCTCGCGCACGATGATATAGACTACCTCCTACCTGCCTACATTTATTACATAGTAATTGTATCCTGTATACTAATACTATATTATACTACACTATACTCCGTACTATGCTATACTATACTATACTATACTATACCTAGGATATGATATGATATGATAATATATACAATATGATATACGCTCAAGCTAAGTTTAGCCCTGCCTTTGCCTTGAATCCCTCCAGTCTAGTGCTGCACTTCTACATCATCGTACTTGTGTTTCTTCCCTTTCTGCCCTTCTTACGTCATTGATTGAGTGTTGCTGGGTTGGGGTATTGGATGGGGTACTTTTTTGCGGAGGAGGTGGGGAGTATGCTTTGCCCTTGTCTTGATATTGGTCTTCTCTTCTTCTCACTTATTTTGTTTGTTTGATATTATCTTTTCTACTACTAACGCTACCTTCCTTGGTAAGAAGAAGATATCTATTCGGAATAATATGTATAACATACAAAAAGTGAAAAGTGATCCCACCTCCCTTGGTAGACTAGTGCCTATCTGCCAACCAACGCCGTATTGACTACCACCCATGGCAGATCCAAAACCTTGTTGCAAACACGCGATCCACCCATAATAGACACATACATGATTGATCGAGTATACCCACTTCATTCTTCGGGAAAATTCAAAGAAAGACGGTCGAGTTAAGACAATGTGGCTGGCTCGGACTACCTACCTTAGGACTCACTTCCGAGACTGTTACTTACTTCCTGGACCCGTGAACCTGGTTTGACTATGTTGTAGTGACTATATGCATGTATGGATCCATGTATGCATGCATGAATGAAGGAGGTAGGTGGTATTCTAGGTATTAGGTGGGTAGGTATGTAGGTAGGTAGGTAGTATATACGAGGTTGCTTTGACGATAATACTACCGTGTTGGAGTAGGAAGTTTCCATTGAGAAATAGAAATGAAAATAAAATCGAAGAAAGAATAATATAATTGCATAAAAATACCCATCCTTGCCTGACCTATCCTCTATACCTAAGCATCCCATCCAACGCCAAAGTACCCATTATAACCATTCCAATAACGCCTTACAAAACCGCGACGGAAATAGAAAGAAGGGAGCATCGGTGTGATGCTGAACTACATCAAGCTCGTCTGCCACTGGTACAGCGCCCGCAGCACCGCTACACCGCCAGACTGTGTCTCAACGGTGCGTCCGCGTCCGCGGTCGTTGACGTCCCCTCGGCCTGTCTCGGAGATTGGCTGAGAGGTCTCCTCCAACGGTGTCAAAGGACGGAGCTGCTTCCGGTGGGAAAAGTTGGGTTCTGGCGCAATGGTGGTCTCGCCATCTCCCTCCGGAACGCGACTACGGAGGGCTCCGACCAGCGGCTCTGAACCCTCTGCTCGCTCCCCGTAGTTGCGGTAGTCGATTGCCCCAAAGGGCAGGGGGCCGTCGGTGGATGTCTCCGACGAGCGATAGTGAGTGCCCCACCAGGTCCCGAACTTTCCGTCCTCGTTGCGCGTCGCCCGCGCCGCATTGGCGTTGTGCTCGATCCAGCGCCCGTAGCTCCCGCACTGGCGCAGGTGCCATTCATAGATGTGCTCCCAGTCAGAGTTGTCCGGCCGAGTCGCGTTGGCGCTGGCCAGGAAGCGCGCCTCCTGCGGGTTGATAGGCCGGCAGAACTCGGCTAGGTGGTGGAAGAAGATGCCCTTGAAGGTCTGTCCGTCCTGGGAACATCCGCCCGAAGAGTCGCATGCGTCTTCTAGGACTCCCCCGCGACCGAGACCCGTCCACTTTCGGCTAGACTGGTTATGCCAGCCGGTGGCCCGTATCACGCGGTTGACTAGTTCGTGACCGTCCTGTAGGTAGTCTGGCGACGCCGTGGCAAGCCAGAGACCCCTCAGCCCGCTAAGGATCACCCCTTGGTTGTAGGTGTATACCATCGGATTGAGCACGTCGCAGCGGCGCGACCCCGGCCGGTTGGAGCCTTGCCAGCCGCTGATGTGAAATCCATCAGCGTAGAGCCCGCCAATGCCGACCATTTTGGAGCTGTTGAGCCACCTGTATCCCTCGATGGCGGCTTGCAGGTGGGCGGGATGGTGCGGGTACCCGTCGGCGTGGACGTTCTGGCCCAGCGTATCTGCCACGAAGGGCGAGTCGATGATATCGCCCGGGAAGTAAAGGTACATGGAAACGCTGGCCGATATGTACAGCTCGTTCGTGATGGCGTTTTTATACGGAGACAGCCGGGGATTCCAGACCATGCCGCCCCCGCACAGCGACGTGTCCCAGCCTGCTGACGCCAGTTCTTGGAACAGGCGCGCTCGGTGAGCGGCGGGAATCCGGAGCTGATTCCCATACCAGCGTCCACCGGCGGAACCAGTCTGCGCTGATTCGTCGTAGTGCAGGTCGGAATGAAGCGCCTGGAACTTGATGCTCTCCAGCCACCCCAACACGATCCAGAGCATATCGTCAAAGGCCTGATTGCGGACCGAAAAGGCGTCCTCGCCGAAGTAAAACGCCGAGATCTGACCGAAGAAGCGATTCAGCAGATTCTCCATTTCCAGAGACAGTGGACTGTTTGCCGCGGCAGTCAACGACGACAGGGTGGCTGAGATGTGCGTGCCTAGAACGGCGGCGGTCCAATCGATGCTGGTGGGCCAGGTCCCTTGCCACAATTCATAATACTCATCTTGCATGACATTGAGGGCATCCAGGAGATCACGCCGGGTGCGGTCGGCCGCAGTATCTGTCGGCTCCTCTGTTGGAGATAGAGGAAGTTGTTCTGAGGATGTGTCCAACAAGGCATGCGGGGAGAGAACCTGCTGAGACCGCAGTGCCAGCGCATTGGTTGGGATGAGCATGCAAAGAATGCTCCATATAAATAAGTAGACCATTTTGTGTTTTCTTTATTATTTCCTTTTTTATTTATTTTGGGTTTCTTTCCTAAGCACCAAGGAATCAATCAACCAAAGATAAGAATGCAACGGTGCCATCGAATCAACGAATGCGATCTAGGAGCGCTGCACCAATGGACGGGGCAAGACGTAGGGAAAGAATAAGGATACGTCCCGTCATGCAGAAAAATACTCTGACCCCTGCATTGAGGTCACACAGGAGGATGATGGAAAGGAAGAAGAAGATGGAGAAAGCGAAGAGGTTGAGAAGTCGGGCAGGTTTAAATTCCAATGCGGGGAATTCCTTCCGGCCGCAAACCGCTGATGGCGAATGCGCCAAGTTGGGTCAGATATGTCAATCTTTCAATCCGGTTAATCTGATTCAGGGGAAAATTGGTTTGTGTTTTATAATTCATGAGTCTGATTCTCGATTCAGCAGGCCTGATGGTTCAACTCATCTCTGATGATGTTGATTTTTAGGAACATCTACTCAATTACATATCTCGCCTAGCACAGCAGACCGTATGATAAGGTCGGATCTACAAGATAGTCAGGCTGATTGTAAGACACCAATCGCGACAAAATAGAAGAAAAAGAGAGAGAAAAGAGGAAAGAAAGCTCTGCAGATGCTTATAACCAGCGCATGACACGCCGAATCACAGAATATATTCTAGCAACGAGCCCAGTATACTCGAGGTCCAATTAAAACAATTTTCTGTCTGGAATCTTCTAAGCCAAGTCAGCAACATGCGACGCAGACGAGACACAGCAGGCCTACCGTATTGCTAATGAATTTCAGCGCCGGCACAGTATCTCGGGATATCATCCCAGGACCCATCGTCCTTGGAAGATCGTGCCGGCCATGGTCGTTTGTCACCCAGTATGGGTCGAGAGTCCTGTCATAGCCATATGTAGAGTGGTAGTAGTATATCTCCATCCTCAAGTCGGCAATCGTGAAAAATAAAAGCCAAAGTACTCCATCAGAGGTTGTCTCAAGCCACAGATGTGCCACGCAATATAACAGAAAAAGAATAAAGAAGGGTAAAAAAAATCAAAGCTGCTCATCCTCTCAATCCCGCTCCCGTTCGTTATCCGCGCCGGGGCTGCGACTCCGGCTCCTGCTGCGGCCTCGTCCACCTGCACCACCACCGCCGCGACCACCCCGCTGTCCGCCGGCTTTGCCTTTGTTGGAGGGCGGTGGTCGCACGAAAGCAAAGTCCACTCCGATAGTCTGCTCGAGCAGTTTGGACCCGTTCAGGGCTTTGATGGCATCTTCGGCTTCGGGGAGGGTAGAGTATTCGATTAATGCGTAGCCCTAGTGCATGTCAGTATAACGAGCACATTCTTCTTCTTCTTTTTTCTCAAAACACCCAATAGGAGAAAGTGGCTGACCTTAACATAACCTGTCCGACGATCCAAATTCAGATTGAAGTTCTTGATCTCCCCATACTCAGCAAACAAATCCGTGACATCCTCCTCAGACGCCTCCTCATGGATATTAGTGCAGAGAATGATCCATCCCTCGATACTGCGCACGGCGACGGCGCCACTGTCTGTTCGCGGGTCGACGCTCTTGTCGCCCGATTGCGCGGGGACTTCGGCTTCCTCGTGCGCGACGGGCTGATCGACGTCCATTTCGGCGGACATGATGTGGACAATATAGTAGGATAAATTAATCGGATTCTCGTAGCGTGATAGCAGGCGGGGAGGGAGGATTGACAGTCGTGGTTGTGGATTAGGTGGGATGGAGTGAAATGGAGATGAATATGAAGCTCTTGGGCTGCGGAGCGCGGAGCTTGCGGTGTGATTATGTCAGCATCTGGATCTGATGCACGATATAGAGTAGTAGTATGTACATACTATCGCTCTAGTTGAATTACAATATATAGAGATCAATCATAAACGTGTGATCTCTGTTTGATTATGTGGATTTAATTACTTTGAATCGGTGGAAGTTATAGAGCATAGCACATAAGACCTTGTTATTTACACCTACCGATCACCCTAAATCTTCTGTATCCAAAGGATTGAGAGAGAGAGAGAGAGAGAGAGATGATGCAGGCTTGATTGGTATACATACTTGACTGATATATAGACGGTCAATTGCATTCATCATGCTTGTAGTAGGAGTTTATATGAAGCCAGGGTCGATCTACATCTGTACACGGCCCCGCCAGTGTCATGGCTTAATCCATTGTATATAACCCTCTATTCTATTGATCATACAATGCTGCCATAAGATGCTATAGCTGTGAATGTAAAAGACATAGAAGGCAGTGTAGTAGTCTAAGCACAATCTAGTATAGCCTCTACAGTACCATAGTGAGTGCAGTTCTTGACTAAATCTCCGGTCTCAATATAATATCAATTCACTGCCTGCTGGACGACTGATCCAGAAGTAGAAAGCCCAAGAGGGTCAACAGACAAGGACAGTAGAAAACACAGTCTGATTACCCATTTAGGTAGCCAAGTGAATGCTCAACAGCAGAAGTGAATACAATAGAAGTGAATACAAACCAACCTCTGAACCATCTATAAAGACTGTCAATCTGAGAATTGTCTACCTACACCTCTTCATTTCTTTATCTCTCTATCTCTAACTATCTGGAGACATCTAAAGAAGATCCATCTTTATCTAAACTGTATTCAAAGATATCAAAGTATCAAATCTAACCCTCATCATGCTCCGCTGGTACGTACCCTTCTTACACATCTATACCATCAACACACCACACCACAACACCATCATCACCACTCCAAGTAACAAGAAAGAACAATCTAACCTCAAAAAACAGTGACGACCCGACCTGCACCTGCCAACCAGCGCCCCCCAAGCCCAACCGCCAAATCCAACTAACTCTCCACGACTCCTCCACCTCCAACACAATCGCAATCCACCACGCCGACGCAGACCTCGATATCGCTTTCGACATTATCAATATAAGGCTCGTTCTGCAGGAGACTATCTATCGTGTTCTTCCTCATACCCCTTCTTCCACTTCTGGTGGTGGTAGAGAGATTAATACATCAAGGACTCCGCTTCCGAAACGGCCTGTTTCGTGGACGTTTAGTATGAATTTCCCGATATCTACTACCCGCAACACCAAGAACGGCACCAAGAGCAACACTCAGAACAGCATCAAGAATAAGAGCAAGAGCAAAATCAACAGCAACAGCAACAGCAGCGGCGGAACCACCCTCCACTTCGCCAACCTCATCGGTCTAAACGATAACTCCCTCCTCCTAACCCTAACCCTCCAAACCACACCCTCCGAAACAGGAGCAGGGGTAGCAAAAGTCCACACCAAACACCGCATCAACAACTTCAACACAGCCCTCGAAAAAAGCAACCTCCAAGAGTGTCTCCACCTCCCTCTTCTGCATGCCCAACAACATCATCAACACCAACATCATCAACACCAACAACAACAACAGCATCAGCATCAACAGAAGGAGGGCAAGGGGAGAAAAGTACAAATGCAAATCTTCCTCCCCGCAGAAAGACTCCACAGCTGGCGAACAGTCGCTCTCATCGTGAGAACCTTTCGCAGAGTCTCTACTGAGCAGTGGTGTCAGCTGATACATTTGAAGCCGGATCCGAGACCGCCTGGGCTGGGGGGGCTGGATTGGAGGGGGTTGGAGGATTTGGTGCTGGCTTCGTCTGTTTTTTCTACGTCGTCTTTGAGTGGGGATGGAGTTGGGGATGGAAGAAAGGAGATGAAGATGAAGATTATGCAGAAGAAAGAGCCAAACAAAAAAAAGAAGACCGTGGAGAAGAAAACGGAGGACAAGAAAATACCGTGGGGAGAGCAAAAGAAAGAAGAACGTCTTCCAGAAGACGTAGATGATCCTGTCGTCGGCGTCGGCGATTACATTCTCTTTCGGGAGCTGTATACTTGGTGACACTGCCTTACTTACTTACTTACTTACCTGGTGGATGGATAGGTATTAGCAAGATCATACATGGTATGTACATACAGAGTGCAGAGTGCAGAGTGAAATGGGGAGGTAGATAGTTTCTAGGTATGTCCATACAACAGAAAAGTAAAGATTAAGTTCCTACAAAGTAAAGTAGATAAATCAAATAATATTAATTCTATTATCATGTCTAATCATAAGTAATGGTAATGGTAATGATATCTATCTCGCATTGCAGTATCCGTAAAGCAACCCTTTTAAACCCCATAAGATCATCAATTCATGTGCGTAAATAGATCGGGTATCTGAAATGATCCGCTGCGCCTGGGTACATGCTTGAACAAGTTGATTCTTCTTTCTTTCTCTTCTTTTCTTTTCTTTTCTTTTACGCCGTATGCCGTATGCTGTAATCCACCATCCATCCTTCCCTTTATTCACGCTATGAGTCGTCACTATCATTCGCTAATCCAGAGAGATAACCTCCACGGAGGGACTGCGCGCATCGCCCATAGTCTGAATCTGAGTTTGAGAGCGGGCCTGTTCTATCTTCGGCCGCTGGGTCAAGGATGCAGGTCGATCGTCCACGCAAATCGACTTGCGCTTTGGGGGCCCACGGGACACGTCGGGACCGGCTCCCCCGTGCTGCGGCGCCGGGCGGTCAGCTTCGTCCTTCAGGGTCCAACTGCCGTCTGATTTGACCTGGATGGCCCGCGCGCCTTCCAGGCGGTTGGTCGCTGCCAGGATGTTGCGCACCTCGCACAAGAAGCCATCGATCACCAGGTTTTGAGGTCGGGCGTCGCGGCCGCAGATGGGACACTTCCAGTCGTCCTTCAAGGCCTGTCGGTCTGACTTGGCGGCGCGGGTGCGGATCCACGTGTCGTGGTCGAAACACTCTTGGTGGGCGCAGCGCTGGCCCCGCACGGGACGGTCGAAGATCCGCGCCGTGAAGGGATCGACTAGGCTGACGGTGAGCTCCTCGCTGACGATGCTCACGTCGTCGTCGTCCCGTGCGGCCGGGTGGAGTCGTTGGCGGATCCGCTCGCGGCACTGGCCGGCGGGAAGCAAGGCGGCAAGTCGGATGGTTTGCGTGAACGAGGTGATGTCGAGGACCTCCACCGCGGCGGCGTAGAACTGGTCCTTGGACTCGGCCGCGTTGCGGATCAGATGCAGGGTGACGGTGTTGGTCCCCGGGCGCAGGTGCCTCGTGATCTCCTGGGGTAGGTCTTTGCCGTGGTGGAGCTTGCGGCGGAAGGAGAGCTCGGCCCCGTTGACGAAGATGTAAGCCAGGCTCGGCCAGATGGCGTCTGCCACGCTCCACGCGGACGGGCTGACGGCAGTGGTCGATGGGCTCACCCGGATGCAGCGCAGTCGGTAGATCTGGCTGCCATCCCGCACGATCCGCGAGGGGCGCTGCCCGACGGGCGTCCCCAGAAATTGCGGGAACCGCTGGCAGTCCGCGGGGGACAGAGTGAACTCCCACGCGAAGGCGCACTGCTTCGGGCCGAGGGGCGTCGGGCCCACCGAGAACGCGGACAGGTGGGGGAAGAGCTCGCCCTCGCCCTCTTCGCCGTCCAGCCCGCGCACCACGATCCGGCTGTACGGGTCCCGAAGGTGGGCCTGGTGCAGGGCGTGGCGGAACGGGTTGGTGCGGGACGTAGCGGGTGGGATCACCCCCGGCGGCGGGAGCAGGGGAGGATAGACCGGCGGTGCGGAGGCGCGAGACAGCTGGTGGGGAAAGGGCGGCGGCATCCGGGCCCGGCCCGACCACGTCGTGACGGCCGCCGTCCCGTCGGCGCGCCGCTCGATCCGGGGCTGCGGCTGGCCGGCCCATCCGTGCGGGGAGGACGGGGCCACAATGGTCGTCGGGGACGCGACCCCCCGCGACGGCGGCCGCATCGCTGGGGGACCGCCGGCCGAGGGCGCGAATGTGGCCATGCGGGGTGACGCCGCCGCCGCGTGGGAGACGGGGGCCGGGTGCCGATAGCTCTGCGGGTGGAAGGCACGGGCGGGCGATCCGGGAGGTTGTGGCTCGCCGCCTGGGGCGCGCTGTACGGCGACCCGCAGATGAGGGCTCACACTCCCCCCCGGGGTGTGCGTCGAGGGGCGTCGGCTCGAAGGGCGTCGGCCGGGGCCGGCGATCAGAGGCCCGGGCGACTCGGCGGGCGGAAGGGGCGGCACCGACTGGTAGGCATGAATGATCTGTTCATTCTCCCAGCGCATCTGAGCCTGGGTGACCAGCTGCGCGGAGCGTCGGTTTTGGTGGCCGACGTCCCGTTCCCAGATGGCCTCCAGGTCGGCCTCCGGGCGGAGCACGGGCAGTCGGCGGGCCATGGCCAAGAAGACGACGTTCTGGAGGGTGCGGGAGGCCATGCCAAAGACGATCAGGAGTTCGTCGGCCAGCGGCGGATAGTCGCGACTGCGGATGCGCAGGTCAAAGGCGGGCCACTGTTCGGTCAAGCGCGCTAGGCACTGGGCAGCCTGGTCCAAGGCCAGCCGGTAGACGGGCGAGTGCATCAGGATGCTGACGGGGGCGGGGAAGTTCATCACCCACTGCAGGAAGTCGGGCGACAGGCGCTGGTTGTCGACCAGAAGCTGTCGGAGGATGGTCAAGCCGTCGGCCTGCGGGGTGGAGAAGCCCGGGATCTGGTAGAACAGGGCGGGGGCGATACTGTGGATGCAGTAGATCTGGTGGATGGCCATGTAGAGCGTGTCGCCATAGCCACAGGCATTTTGCAGGAGATGGAGTCGCGGGTTTTCGACCACTTTGGACGACATGTCACCACCCGCCGACCGGTTTCGGTGCTGCGAGTAGACGCTCAACCGTTGCGAGGAGAGGGCATAGAACTCCGCGTCCACCGCGGGGACGGACGGGTAGCCGGGGACCGAGGGGGCCGGAGCCGGATGATGCGCCGACGGTGTGGGAAGGAACATGCTCCGGGGGGACTCGGTCGGGGCGTGATGAGAGGCTGGATGCGAGGGCAATCTCGATGTGTCGACACTCATCTCGCCCGGGGTCGGGGTGGGAACCGGGGATGTCAACGACAATGCGGCCGGCGGGTGCGCACCCTGCTCCCCGTGGACGAGCTGGTCTCGCGAAGAGCGCGGTCCCGATCCGGCGGTTGGGGGCGGCGACGGCAAGGGAACCCTGGGGGCGTGACTGTGCTCATCGTGTGGTGCACCGGCCCCCGTTGGACTCGGCTGCGGCCCGGCGGTCGAGGAGGCCACGGGGGTGGTCGTGGTCGCGAGGCGCGGCGACGGGGCGATGGCGGCGCCGGTGGTGGTCAAGTGCAGGGCCGGGGGCAGCGGTCGCTGAAGCGATCGGGACGGTTGTCCTGGAGGTTCTGCTTGAGGCGGAGGCGGTTGACTCTGGGTGGTGGTCGCCGTGAGGGAGGGCGGGAAGGACGACATGGAGGGGGGGTCGGCGGGGGGAGCAGCGTCGTCGGAGACAGTAGAGACGGGCCCAGCATTCTCCTGGTGGGGTTGTGTGGTGACTATAGAAAGCGAGCGGGGAGCGAGCGGGCGACGACGCGTACGATGGGCCGCAGAGGTGGGAGTTGACGCCGCCGGAGCATCCAACATCCACGATCTGCGCAGCCCACCGAGAAAAAGATTGGCGGTGGAATTGGAGGAGGAGAGGATAGAAGGGGGGGAAGAAGGGGGAGGTGGGGGAGGAGGAGGAAGTTGGTTGTGGTGGGAGGAAGATGAAGCAAAAGTGGAGGAAGAAGAAGTTGAATGGAGAGAATTGTCGGTGTTGATGGAGTGGATGGCCTGAGGCTGAGGATGATCAGGATTATGATCGGAGTTATGATTGGAGTTGTGCGGATTAGGTAAGGAACTGCATTGATCCTTGGCCGCCATCTCAGTCTTCTTTGTTTCCTTCGCTTCCTTCTCTTTCATCCTCGTGTTTTCTTGGTTTGGTGCCTGGAAAGATTCCTTTTATGGACTCATGCCTTTTTCTCTTTTTGACAATGATGGAATGGGGGGGTACGTTCATCGTTGGTTGGAATTTGGACTCAAAGGAGAGAGTAGAAGATAGAGTAGAAGGGAGGGGAAAACCAAAGTGAGAGGAAGCCTGAAGAGATGGATAAATTCAAGCAGAGGAAGGAAATGTGGATGACAGGAGAAGAAAGGAGGAGGATGAAAGAAAGAGAGAAAGAAAGAAGAAAGAAGAAAGAAGGATGGCTGGAGGAGACGGAGAGGGTCTTATATATGGGCCTGATCGAGTGTATTCACTGCATTTGAATCAGTGTCTGGATCTTTCCCTGGAGTGATTCTATATCTATACAATATATATACAGTAATAACTTAGATTCTAAGTTAGTATTAACTGGTATTCTCTCGAGGTTGAGACCAGGATCTTGACAGTGACTATAAAGTGAGATGATGATCACTGGGATTACTCATCTTCATATCTGGATTTATACAGGGACAGTCACAGCAGTCACAGCAGACACCACAGTCAAACAACAAACAAAGAGTGAAAGAAGAGACAGGGAAATGGAAAGAAATGGAATCAAAAGAAAAAGAAGAGTCAACATAATAAAAAAAAAGGAGAAGACAAAGAGAGGGAAACAAAGAGGAAAAGAAGGTGGAGATTCCCCTGCAGGACCGACCGGACGCGACCTGTCACCGTTCTGGAAGATTTATACCGTCGATCTGACCAATCTTATTTATATTATTTAGATTATATTATGATATATTACCTAGACGGTGACTGTTGGGAGTTTCCCCCTTCTCTGTTATCTTGTATGATTTATTTGATCGATTTCAATCTAGTGTATTTGTTATGTGGTCAAGATGCCCAAGAACGAAATGGGTTCTCATCTAGACGGCCTCAACATCCATGTCCAAGATCCATGTCATCTGGTTGACAGACTGATCCAATTTCCCTAGATCGAACGAGGCAATCAGAGACGCTGAATTGTCCATCCTGGTCCAGTTGGTCTTGCATCCCCGTTGGCGCCACGACTTGTCCAGCTGGTCAGCCTGATACCAAATAATAATTAGACTCGAATCGAGAATAGGAAAATAAATCGAGAATAAACCATAGGAGATAATAGAGAAGAAATAGAGAAGACGTGAAGAAAAATAGAAGAAATCAGACTATTTATAACCGTTACATCAGAACGACCGTCTTAGTTGGGCCTCATCTCTCTCTCTCTCTCTCTCTTCTTCTCTTCCACGCTTTCTTCCACTCCACCTCCTCTCTCCCACACTTCGACCTACTTCTCCCCATCCACTCTTTTTAACTTCGGGTGGTGACGCTCATGACCCACCCAGTCTATCTCTATCCACCAAGAGATTCATGGTTATACCCTCCTCTGAACCATTAAATGATCGACAAGATTGTCTCCTCTCGAATCGCCCACTCTCCGCCTTAGCGCTGGCTTGTCAATCGATCCATCATCATCAATCAATCATCGTCCACCAGCTTTCAATCAGTCAATTATTTGTTTCTCCACTGATCAGTCATATATCTCTCCTCTCTCTTCCCTTCTTGATCTCTCTTCTCTCTTCATCTTCTTATATTCTATCCTCCTCCTTCTCTTCTTTCCATCTTCTCTACACAGCACGGAGTACGGAGAGATCTTCATCTATCTTCCTCCGCACTAGGTCGAATCCTGGTCCTTCTGATATCATCGACTCCCTCGGTTTAAGTCCCGGCGGTTGGACCCCGCCATCTTCCTCTCCAACTCCTGGTCGACGTGAATCTGCGTCCGATCTCCTCGGGGTCAATTCACTTCAATCTTCACGCCCACCGACCTCACTCAATATTTACTATTTAATCAAAGAGGACGAAAAGAAGGAGCAAAGAAAGAGGGAGAGACAAGACAAGACGAAAAAGAAAAAGGAATAAGGGAAAAAGAAAAAGAAAGAAAAATCGTTCAGATCCAACCTCCCAATCAAGGGCTGGGCGGAATTTACTCAACGTTTTCGGTCCCTCCAAAAAAAGTCACATTCCGTTCGCACTTTCTCCTCGGCCAATTGTTCCCTCTCTCGCCCCCCTTTCGACCCTGCGACCTCCGATCCCGCATACTCTCTCCGTCGGTCCACCCACCAATTCGCCAGATTCCCGTTCCAAGGGTGTGGTGATTTGACCGCGAACGTTCGACCGACCCGAGAGGGCTGTTGGGTCCCCATGTTCCGCGCATTGCTTCCTCTCCTCTCGTCGTTGCGCCCGCGGACCGTCCTACTAGATTTGGCTCTCTGATCCTCCCGCTCTCCTCCCCTCTCCTCCCCTCCCCCCCCCCTCCTCTTTTTCACCCATCACCTCGAATCGCTATCTCGAGGGGATTGACAATGGCTTTAACTTCACCCCCCCGCGGCGTGAAGCCCGGTGACCATCTCTTGGTCGTCCGTAAGCTTTCCTCCCCCCACCACTCCCCCGACGTCGGTCGCATGACCTGCAACCGAGGCGCGTGGGAGTGCGTCACTACCTCCGATCCCTCTACTCACTGATTCTGCGCCCAGATGATTTCGATGCCCGTGGCCCCGACGAACTGACCCTGCGACGCGGCGAGAAAATTGAATTGGTCGAGATGGATGATGGATTCGGGGACGGCTGGTATCTCGGAAAGGATACCAGCTCCGGTGCCTCGGGTCTCTTCCCAGGAGGTAGGATCCCCATCGGTCTGTTCCCGCCGAGAAGGAAGCTGATGGATCGCCCCCGCAGTGTACACGACCGCCGCCCCCAAGATCCCCATTCGGCACCGGACGGAGTCTGAAGCCGATACCTCCCACACGAACGCGCAATCAACCTCCGAAGGGCAGTCCTTGTCGTCCGAGACAACGGCGGTCGTCCCAAAGAGCGGTGAATCCACCCCTCACGCCTCGCGTCATGCGAGTCTGTCCGACATGCGCGCTCCCGACCTGGATGCGGCCTCGTTTGCGCCCAAGCCGCCGCAACGCGCCAGCTCCTCCCCCCTTCCGACGGCCAAAATGGCGGTCGACGTTCAACGCTCCCTGCGCCAGGGCATCGACGGCCAGCTGGCCGGACCTGGCCAGGAGAGTCCCGTTATGAACGAGACCCTGAGTGTCATCGACGAACACATCACCGACCTCAGCACCCCCCGTCACAGCATGGCCCCCCATCAGGAGCACAGCAACAATAACAACAGCAAGGTCGCGAACGACTCCGCCAGCGAATACAGCTCCCACCTGGAGAACCGCATGTCCTACATCAACGGCCACGAGACCGATGAGGAGGAAGAGAACCACCCCACCGAGGACGAGGTCCGGCAGTGGGATCCCGCCGAGACCGCCCGCTATCTGCGCCAGCTGGGCCTTGAAGCCCGTCACTGTGATATCTTCGAAGAGCAGGAGATCACCGGCGACGTGCTGCTCGACATGGACCAGGACTTCCTCTTTATGAAGGAGTTCGACTTTGGCGTCATGGGCCGCCGTCTCAAGACCTGGCATCGGATCAAGGCCTTCCAGGAGGAGGTCAAGGGCGTGATACCGTCCCAACGCCAGTCCTCGCGGGGTTCCACCTCCGGCTTCGCCACCCCAGTGGACGACCGCAGCCTCAGCCGCGCCGGCCACACCAGCTACGTCCTCCCGCGGATTCCCCACGTCCGCGGCTCGACCGGCTCGCACCGCCTGAGCGGCTCCCTGCCCACCAGCTTCGGCGCTCCCGGCTCCGCCCCGGGGCCCCTGGACCATGCCCGTCGACCCTCCGCCGCGTCGATCCGGGATGTCAATCACTCGCGACGCCACTCGTCGATCGACACCACTAACCGGTTCTCCACTGCCGCCGACGGGTCCCCGCCTTTACGTCATCACCAAAGCGGTTCCTTTGATCGCAGCTGGACCCTAAACGGAGGGGGCAGCCAGCGGGCGCAGCCACCCCCGCGCCCGGGCACGTCCCTGGGAGCGGCCCCCGTCACGGCGTCCCCTGACGCCATCACCCCCCCGCACGCCGTCCGCGGATCCGGATCGAACGGATCCGACTCGGCCATCGTCGTGAACGACGATCTCGACCGGGGCTACTTTTCCGGCCCCGAGGCAGACACCCGCCGGGTCAAGCGCCTGCAGAAGCGGACTTCAATGGGCGGGAGCATGACCTCGCGGCTGTCGAGCGGCACGGATGAGCCGCCGTACCGGCTTCTCCCCGGCTCCCGCCGGCGACACTCGCGCATCGGCAGCGCCGACTCCATCCGGGACGCCGTGCCGCCGCCGCCGGCCGGGGCCTCGGCCCGCTCGTCGTACGCTGCGCCCGCGCCGCCGGTGCCCAAGGGTCGGTTCCGGAGCCTGAGCACGCGCATCACCGACCGGCAGGCTCACCCGTCTGCCACCGCCCGCAGCAGCGAGGAGAAGGCCTCGAGCCCCGGCATCCTCGCCGCGCTGTCCCCGTTCACCGGCAAGGCGGACCGGTCCGAGAAGCCGGACCGGGACACGCGAGCGATGTCCCTGAATCCAGTCAAAAACGCAGGGCCCAAGTTCCGCCGGGCCATGGGATTCCGCACCTCATCCGACGTCGCCCCCAAGCGGTTGGACACCACGGTGGGCCCCGCGTCGCCCGCCCGCGACGTTGACCCCGCGTCGGCCCGCACCGGCTCCACGACGCCGTCGACCTCGAAGAGCTCGGAGCGCCACAGCACCGACGGGTCGGCGAAGAACGCGGACGGCAGCCTGTCGCTCCCGCGCAGCCGGACGACCGCGGCCAAGAACGGCACGGGCACCAAGTCGAAGAAGGACACCAGCGCCTACACGCGCGGCCTAGAGAAGAAGTCGCCCCAGGAGCAGATGCGGGGCTGCGACTACGCGGGCTGGATGAAGAAGCGGTCCTCGAACTTGATGACCACATGGAAGCCCCGTCTCTTTGTGCTGCGGGGCCGACGCCTCTCCTACTACTACTCGGAGCAGGACACTGAAGAGCGCGGCCTCATCGACATCACCGCCCACCGCGTGCTCCGGGCGGACCACGACCCGATCGTCGCCCTGCACGCCACGCTCACGGGCGCCACCGCATCGCCGACCTCGCCGCCGACGGAGAAGGTGCCGCTGTCCGAGTCGACGCTGAGGGCCCCAAAGCAGACTAACGAAGGGCCCTTCTTCTTCAAGCTGGTACCGCCCAAAACCGGCCACTCGCGCACGGTGCAGTTCACCAAGCCGGCCATCCACTACTTCCAGGTGGACAACGTCAAGGAGGGGCGTCTGTGGATGGCCGCGCTGATGAAGGCGACCATCGAGCGGGACCTACAGAGTCCGGTGGAGTCGTCCAACAAGCAACGAACCATCAGTCTTAAAGAGGCGCGGCTGATGAACCAACGGCCCCCATCCCTGATGGCCGCTCCGCCAACACCGGAGGAGCCGGAGACGCAGGACCAACCACTACCAATGCCGCCGTCAGAGGCCACAGGCCTACGCACCCAGGGTCTCCGCGCCGACGGCATGACGCCTCCGGCAGAGCCGGCGGCAGCAGTCGATGAAGACAAGCCGGCGTCGAACCAACTGGGCCAGCTGGACACGGGGCCGACCTCGTTGCTCCCGGAGTCGATGACGAAATCCGAATAAACCGTGCCATGTATCCTTGGACGGTGCACCTACCCTATTCCTTCATTTATGACTCGGACCTTTCCTTTGTATTTCCGTTTGTTCCTCTCTTTTTTCTACCCCCTTGCTTGGCGTTTAATGTGATATACCCCCTATTGGATCCACCTTGGATTATTCTTTACCTCTGTCATTAATCCCCGTCCTACCCCATCGTTTTTGTGTCGTTAGTTTGCAATCCATTTGTCTTGTGACTCTGGATCTTTGATCTGGTTCGTATGTAGCGAGAGGATGTGGCGCGCTCTACTAGTCTTGAGTGTAAAATAAGCGTCTCTACGACCTTTCTTTTATCGTCCGAATTTGATCAACTTATTTGATACGGTAGACTTGTGGGAAACAATGCCCTGGCTTCACCTAATCCGTTAAAAATGTTATTTGATTTTTCATTCTATACATTGGGTTCTGTCGATGAACTTTTGACTCGATGCTGTTGTGGTGGTGCCTGTGAGGTAATGATAAACGGAGAGGCTATATATATATATTTTCTATTTGTAGGCTGATACAGGTAGTTAATGCAACGCATGTATATATTCGAGATCTCTGTCCCCACTAAGAATGAACTTGAATTGTAAGTGTTCGCAGCCGGTCTGTTGAGAAAGACCGTTGGAAATATTAGCCATTGTCGGTGGTGGATAATGCTATCTATTTTTATACCGCGCTGATCTTCGATCTTCCCCTTCTTTTCGCCTCAACTTCTCTCTCTCCTCCCCTTCACTCTTTCGGGGCCACAGCACAATGGATCCTCTTCATTCCCAATAAACACAAACCAAATTATATAATTATACTTACAACCCCCCCGCCACCACCCATGCCATCCCCATGTCTCTCCTCCACCTTCTCCGCCGAATCCTATCGCGCGCGCTATGCGTGCTCCTCCCATTGGCCATAACAAGCAGTCTATACCTCTACCTTTACCCCGTCTTCCAAGGTTGCGCATTCCCCCTCCCTACCCCGAACGAAGAGCCTTCCAACCGCCGACTCTCCTACCAACACTCCCTCCACCAACACCTTGCACCGCATTCCGCCCCCGACCCCGCCCTCGTTAGAGTCCTCGTGCTAGCAGACCCACAACTCGAAGGCGACAGCTCGCTGCCCAAACCCGAACATGAGCTCCCCGCGAGACTGCGCTACCACTGGGAGTCAGTGAGCGCGTCCGTCCAGCGCGCCCTGCCTTCTCCCCGGCACGACGACGACGACGACGACAACGATAACGACATCCGCACCGCTGTTCACGACATCCGCACGGCCGTCTCCTCCGCCGTGCGCGCCCTCGCCAAAGACGACCTCCCCCGCGCCCTACGCGCCGCGCGCAAACGCCTCGACCTCCTCGGGAACGACTACTACCTCGCGCATATATACCGCACGCTCCACTGGTGGAGTCGCCCTACGCATGTCACTGTCCTAGGCGATCTCATCGGCAGTCAATGGGTTACGGACGAGGAGTTTGATCGTCGTGGGGGTAGATACTGGGATCGTGTGTTTCGGGGGGGCCAGCGCGTTCCTGATGAGTTGACTGTGACGGGGGCGGAAGACTACACGGGGAGTCATGACGGGGCGGCGTCAGAGGCCGCAACGCTGGAAGAGCTGGAGCTCCAGCGCACCGACTCGCCGTGGGCGCAGCGCATCGTCAACATCGTCGGGAACCACGACGTCGGGTACGCAGGGGACGCCAGCGAGTCGCGACTGGAGCGATTCGAGCGGGTGTTCGGGCGCGCGAACTACGATATCCGATTCCGCGCGCCGCCTGTCCATCTCAACAACGACACTAGCACAATCACACCAATCCTGCACCTCATCAATCTCAACACCCTCACACTAGACACCCCGGCCCTTTCTCCCACGGTCCAAACACACACCTACGCCTACCTCAACGACGTCATCTTCAAACGAAGCTACCCCGTCGAAGACCGCTCCACATTCACCCTGCTCCTGACACATCTCCCCCTGCACAAGCAAGACGGCATCTGCACGGACGGGCCGTACTTTTCGTTCTTCGATAAAGATGACGATAATGGTCCGGGCGGTGTACCACGTTTTCACAAAGGGGGCTTGAAAGAGCAGAACCATCTAAGTGAGCATCTTAGCGCGACGGGTGTCTTGCAGGGGATTTTTGGGATGAGTGGGGAGTTGGACGCCCCTGCTGCCGGACGGGGTAGGAATGGGCTTATCCTTACCGGGCATGATCATACTGGATGTGATGTTGTGCATTTTGTGGATAGGTCTGCGCCTGCATCTTCCACGCCCGACGACACCGAAGCAGAAGCCGATGCTCTCAAAGAAGATGAACAACAACAAGAACCACAATGGACCTGGTCCGCCAAACGCTTCAATCAGCACCAGCAACAGCCGGATGAGGGAAATCCCTCCATCAGAGAAGTAACCCTCCGCTCAATGATGGGCGAATTCGGCGGCAACGCGGCGCTCCTATCACTGTGGTTCGACGCCGACCCGGCTGTCTTGGAGTGGAGGTACGAGATTACGATGTGCGCGGCTGGGGTGCAGCATCTTTGGTGGGCTGTGCATGTTGTCGGTTTTGTTACGTTGGTTGTGGGGGGTGTTTATGGTCTTCTTCTGCTGGCTTCGCCGGGGTCAGCTACTGCTGGGGTTAAGGCTGAGGTTGAGGTCAAGGCTAAGGCTGGAGATGTGGCTAAGGTGTCCGGGGGTAAAGTTAATGTTGGTGACAGCTCTCCCGGGGAGAAGCGGAGAGAGAAGGAGAAGGAGGCTGTGGAGAACGAGGGGAATACTTGAGTCATACACACACACACACACACATATATATATGTATAGATAGATTTAGATGGGGTGTAGGTTGATTGATTGATGTTGTATGATATGATGGATGGACGATGAGTTAGATGCTGATATATTTAGATAGACATGTGGATTATACTACGGCATTGTATATAGCAGCCGTATAGAAATATCCCAATCATATATTATATACTCCGTGTTAGCATATCTTATCTTGACCAATCGACCAAGCAACACCGATTGGCGAGTGATAGGGTTTATGCAACAACTTATGTTGAGACTACATCCAATAAATCGTTTGGTGAATTTTTATATTCCAGATCGCCATGTAACCAGCATCAAACTAGAAAAAGAAAAAGAAAACGGAGGAAAAGGTGTTCATGAGGATGATAAGGATGAGGATGAGAGGGTTGGTTTCTTTTATCGTATCAATCAAAGGCACGTTCGTCAATCCTCCAAGGTACGTAGATACCGACGTAACGGACCACATATAAGAAAAAAGAAAAAAAAAAAAGAAGAAAAAGGAAGACCAAGAGAAGGGGTGGACAGTTTGTTCGTTCGATCGTTGTTTGCATTCATTTAACTTATATGCAAATCGCAACAAGCCCGCTCCGCTTCCCTTCTAACTCGTGGTGGTATCGTTCAGGTTTTTCCATTTGAGAAATTTGGAATCGCAATCTCCCTTGATTACTTTTTCTTCATTTTTTTCTCGTTTCTATATGGCCCTTCTGTTTTCCTGTTGCCCGGGGTTCATGACGACGTTCTTTCGAAGGTGCTTTTTCTTTCGTGGGGGTTGTTTACATGACGACACCGGAGTTGGAAGCGATACGCTGTTTCATAGTTAGTATCTGATCAAGCGTTTTTTTTGTGTAGGATATCCGGGTAGGTGAAAAACGTACGGGCCAAAGCTCAGCAGCCTCCTTTCCGACGGGGCCAGTGATGGCGGAACCCTTCATCTCACCCTTGGCGTTGACGATCTATATCCAAGTTAGCAGGGGTTGCGACTCTCATAGATAGATGTATACATACCACACCGGCATTGTCCTCGAAGTAGAGGTAGATGCCGTCGGGACGGCGCCAGGGCTTGCTCTGGCGGACCACAACGGCGGGCATGACCTTCTTCCGCAGCTCGGGCTTACCCTTCTTGACGGTGGCCATGACCATGTCACCGACACCCGCAGCGGGGAGACGGTTCAGGCGAGCACCGATACCCTTCACCGAGATGATGTACAGGTTACGGGCGCCGGAGTTGTCGCAGCAGTTGAGCACGGCGCCGCTGTAGGATGTTAGTTTCTGACTCCATGCCCGGTTCCAACGGTGTTTTTCTCTTTCGGGTCGAATTCGATGTCGGGATCAACGTACCAAGGCAGACCGAGCGTCATCTTCAGCTTGTTGCCGGCATTACCACCACGTCTGTAAATCTCAATCAGCACTCATTCCCATCTCCAGTTCGCCTTCTCTTAAGGCAGCAGTCCGTGTATAATGAGTCCGAGCAGCTGGTTCGATTCGGTCGGTGATTGGCGTTCTTCTCTTCTCTTCGGGCGTATAGATGGATTCGAAACGTTGCTGAAAGATCTTCCTCCTCACTCCCCATTCCCTCCCATCTCTTCCAAATTATCTCTCCCCTCCGAATCTTCCGCCTTCACACAATAACACTCGTCCAGCATTGTCGTCTCAATCAATCAATCGATCACCGGTCGATCAAATCCGCCTCCCAAACCAGCTGCTGCAGACGCCACGGACACGGCGGAAAAGTCAGGAAAAAACTCACCCTCTCTTAGACATCTTGGGCTATGTATCGCTTGACGGTGTCGGATACTCGAAAATTGGCGAAGGGGGCGACGGGACAGAGGGTCGAACAAGGTCGGAGCGGAGGGTTCAGGTTGGACTTCGCGGATGGGGAATTGCGCTCTCGCTTAGTGTGCGTCGTGTGGAAAATCTTGGCGGCGAGGCGCTCATTGGTCGTTTTCCGGCGGTGGGGCGCCGGGTGGTTTGCCCTAGGGCTAATCCGGATGGGGCTAGCTTGATTAGATAACAGGAACACGTGATATTGACGTATAGATCGAGACCACTCTTATCTACGAAACTACGGCTTACGAGACCTATCTGAAAGAAACTGGTCTGGTAAGTCTTGAATATGCTAGTACAGGCCAATTCAAAAGTCAACAATTAACATAGCTAGTAAAAAAACAAATCATTCATGGTCCAGAACAGAATCCCTCCATCTTTTCGCATGCAAAAGTTATCACCAAAACACCAGTGCCAGTCGTTGCGCCAGGATCCTGAAAACGCCGCGCTCAGTGCGAGTCTACAATTCCTCGCTCTTTGCAGGCTCCTCAGGTTGCGGCTCCGCGGCGGGCTCGGCGGGTTCCTTGGCTGCTTGCGGTTCCGACTCCGACTGCGCCGGTGCGGTCTCCTCCTTGGGCGCCTCCGGAGTCTTCTCCTTCTCGGCAGGTTCTGTCGTCTCGGCCGTCTTTGTTGTATCCTCGGCTTCAGTGGTTTCCTTGGCCTCGAGCTGCTCCGTGGTTTCGCGAGGCGGGGACTGGGCCTTAGGGGGAGACGTCGGCTTTGCGGCGGGTTCTTCGGGTGCCGTGGGTTGCTCAGTCGACGTCTTGTCCTCTTCCTGCTTTTGCGGTTCTTTCTCTGCAGGGGTCTGATTCGCTTGCTGCTCCGGCTCCGGCGCAGCCGCACTGACGTCTTCCATGGGCGTGTCTTCGTCATGCGGCTTGGGCGACGGTTGGCGCGACGGTTGGACGGAGTCGGTGGTAGCCGCCTCCTGCCCGTCCACGGGCATTTCGCTGTTGTCGGCCGCAGAAGCTTGCTCAGTCCCCGACGGGGCCTCGACCGCGGACGTGGAACGGCGAGCTTCAGGAACAGGCTCGGGGATTTCGCCCAATTTCACATCGGCGGTCGTATCCATATCTTCATCCGCGACCGACGACACGTCTTGGGGCGTTGCCATGCCGCTGTCGAGCCCAGAATCAGCCGCATCGACATTCCGATAGTTGACCTGGTTTTTCCGCTTGAGATGGAATGGTTTGCGGTGGACACCGTTGGCGCCGCTCTCGTCTTCGTCTTCGCTGTCACTCAGTTCCCCAGTCTTTTCAACAAGTCGGTCAAAGCGCCGTTGGGTGAAACGCTTGTCTTTGTTCTCATCTTCATCAAGGTCGTCCAAGATGGCATCCGCCTCATCGTCCATGCCTTCAACGAGAGGCTCCCGGGGTACATCGGTCATCTGAACGGATGGCGCGAAGGCGGTCCGCTTAAGGTTCTCAACAACCTGTGTGCGAATTTTGTCCAAGTACTCTTTCGTATTGGCGTTGTCCATATTGGAGGGGCGTACATCCAACTCGTAATTGGGGGCGAAGTACTAGTCTCGTTAGTTGGATCCGACTGCGAGCCGGACTAATTGGCTTACCTCGTAATAGTCATTGTACGGAAGTTCCGATTCCAGTGGGTCCCCAACAAGGATACCGGTCTCGAAGGCCCAGGTCCGGGCTACATTCCGCATCGTGTAACCGCCACCGCCGAGGACCAAAGTTGGCAAGTTAAAGGATTTGACAAAGTTGACACAATTAGCGTGGCCTCTCATACTAAGGTTGAAACACCCCAGGCGATCACCCGAGAGACTGTCACCGCCGCATTGCAAGACAACAGCTTCGGGACGGTAGTACTCCATGACGCTTCTAATGACAGGCTCAAAGATACTCTTGTATGAGACGTCGTCGATGCCATCGCGAAGTGGAAAGTTGACTGCGTAGTTTTTGCCTTGCCCCACACCGGTGTCGCGAAGTTCACCTGTTCCGGGGAAGTACTCGCCATACTTGTGGAAGGAGCATGTCATGACGCGATCGGTAGTGTAAAACGCTTCTTCGACACCGTCGCCGTGGTGGACATCGATGTCAACATAGAGAACTCGCTGTTTGAAGCGCAACAACTCCAGGATGCCCAAAACAATATCTGAAACGGTTCATCAGTACAGGGTGGGAAAAACCCGGGCTGCATTCCCTCCCATACTTACCGTTGACATAACAGAATCCACTGGCTTCGCTCTTCTTGGCGTGATGGAGGCCACCGGCCCAGTTGACTGCGATGTCGCATTTGTTGCGGTTCAACCGAGCCGCGCCTTCCATACTGCCACCGGCGCTAATGCCGCAGAACTCAAACAGACCATCAAACACAGGACAATCATCTCCGACGTTATACTTGCTTTGTTCCTTCGCAAACGAATCCATATTGTCCGGGGTGACCTTCGAGAGGAAATCGATGTACTCGTCTGTGTGGAACTGGGTCATTTCGTATTTCGAAGCCGGTTTCGCGCGCTGTCGATGTGATTGTTAAAAGAAAGCCCCGGACTAGTGGTTATGGCGGAAGAGAATAACTCACATAAATCTCCATTTTCTTGTAGAGCCCATAGTTCATGACCAAACTGTGCGTCATCCTTATGCGATGGGGCTTCATGGGATGCCCCGAGACGTAGGCATAATTTCCCACATCGGAGTCGTAGAAGTAGGCGATCTTCTTGCCCCGGTCCGACGCAGACGTCGAAAGGGGGTCCAAGGGAGGCAATGAAGCCATCTTGGAAGGTAGCGTATTAAACCGATGAATCGATCAGGAGGACTTCAGAAGACTTTAGGAATCTTCAGGAGGTGAAAGAAGTAAGCCCTCTAGACACGGACTTTTCTCGGGCTCAACAACAGATAGGGAAATTTAGAGAGACCAAGGAAGCAGAGGATAGCACTACCTTATGGATGATGACTCGAGAGCACGAATTGACAGATCCGCCGAATGCCAACGGAAACAATCAAGTCACAGAGATGGTGGTGGATAGAGGACTCCGCCACATTCCCATGGCGCGGAGATTGGAAGAACGACGGCGAGGACGAACGGGGAGGCGAGGGAGCAAAAGGCGGCAGCGTCAATTGCGCTCACCGCCTTCGTCAGGCTGGGAGCTTACCTTACCCGCTAACTAGATCGATCCAGTCAACTCATCCGACTGACCATCATTCCTCTTGTTCGATTGCCATTTCATCATACATCTTCCTCGGAGTCACCAGACCCAGCCTGTTTCGTTGATTCTCTATTCACTTCAAATCATTCTAGACTTGAAGTCTCTGATATCCATTCCCTTTAGGGTCACTGTTGAACCCATTCACCTACCAACCACCACCTGGAGCTTCCGCATAGGAACGCTCTGATTTCCCTTTGCTCCCTATCATACCTCATCATTAGCCATGGATCGATTGAATCGTATGCTTCAGGCTGCCCAGGGCATGGGCATGGGTAGTGCAGGCCCCGGAGGCGTGAGTTGATCCTCTTCCCTCAGTCTCATCGCGCCTGTTACAGCTCCCCTCTGGGCTGCGGAGGTGGCCATGCTTGTCACTCTTTTCTCTAACACTCGGCGGAGATACTCTTGTATGGAGGGATATACTGACATATATCGTCTTAGGACACTCCCAACCTGATCGATAACTCCGAAACCGTCCACATTTCGTCGCTCGCTTTGTTGAAGATGTTACGGCATGGTCGGGCAGGTGTGCCTATGGAAGTGATGGGTTTGATGCTGGGAGAGTTTGTGGATGACTACACGGTTCGAGTGGTGGATGTTTTTGCGATGCCCCAGAGTGGTACTGGTGTCAGTGTCGAGGCTGTAGATCCCGTCTTCCAAACTAAGATGATGGATATGCTCCGGCAAACAGGACGGTCAGTCTTCTCGATCGGACATTCTTGATCGTGCTCTGCTGACTGATTGATGCTATCATACAGACCGGAGACTGTCGTTGGCTGGTATCACTCCCATCCCGGTTTTGGCTGCTGGCTTTCGTCGGTCGATATCAACACCCAGCAGTCCTTTGAGCAGCTCAATTCCCGCGCCGTTGCCGTGGTCGTCGATCCGATCCAGTCCGTCAAGGGCAAGGTCGTCATCGATGCGTTCCGTCTTATCCAGCCCCAGACCGTCGTTATGGGCCAGGAACCCCGCCAAACGACGTCCAACTTGGGCCACCTGAACAAGCCGTCGATCCAGGCCCTTATCCACGGCCTGAACAGACACTACTACAGCATCGGGATCGCCTATCGCAAGACCGGATTAGAGGAGAACATGCTGATGAATCTTCACAAGAGTGTCTGGACGGAGGCTCTTCAAATGAAGGATTTCCATGAGGAGGGCCAGCACAACGTGGAGCAAATGCAGCAGCTTGTCAGCCTCGCGGAAGGCTATGAAAAGCGGGTCAAGGAGGAGACGGAGTTGTCCAAGGACCAGCTGAAGACGAGATATGTCGGCAAGGTCGACCCCAAGAAGCGTACGTCGTTTGTGCTTTTTCGATTGTTTTATTACGAAGTTTTACTAACAATACCTGTAGACATTGAGGATATGAGCCAGAAGTTGATCGAGGACAACATCGTGGCGGTATCGCGGCAGATGATCGACAAGGAGGCTTCGGTGGCTCGACTGTCCGGCGGGAAAGGACCCCAGAATGGCAGTGGGATGGAAGTGGACGAAGAGTAATAGATAATTTATAACGCGTGGACATGGAATGCTATTTTGTTTGAAATAAAGCCGCATGTTTAGGCAGCGTACAGGAACAGGATATGTCCTCCTGGCTCCGGCTAGAAGACTCACGATGACGTTCTACGTGGAACAAATCTAAGTGATATGTACGGAGTAGTTTCTATTGTACTATATAGTCGATCGCGATGTCCTCCCGAGATCCCAAAATCTATAATACCCCCAAGCGAAGAAAAAGAAATCCAAATCACACATTCAACACCGACAGCGTCGGAGGCGGGACCTCATCCGCACAAACAAACTCGTTCACCTTCGTCCCACGCACAAAGGGCGGCTCCAACTCCTCGCCATCCCAATCCGTC